ACTGAGTATAGAGATTTGTCCTCATCAAGGTGGGTGGGCATCATCCAACCCCTTGAGGATTCAAATGGGCCAAAAATGCAAAGAAAGGGCAAATTCTCTTTCTTCTTGAGCTGGGACATCCAGCTACCCTCAGATGGCAGAGCTCCTGGTTCTAGGGCCTTCAGACTCAAGGGCACACATACCAGCAGCTCCCTGATTCTCAGGCCTTAGGGCTTGGACTGAATCATACGACCTGGTTCTCCAGTTTGCAGATGGCACGCCTGGGACATCTTGGCTCCCAGTAACGACGTGGGCCAATTCCTCTGATAAACTTTCTCTTCTATACGTACCTACATATATACTACTGCTTCTGTTTCTCTGGAGACCAGGACTAAACACAAATGGTTTTCAATCTCTATTTCAGTTTCAGAGTCCTGTCTACCTACTGTTGAGCCTATGGAGGGGAATAAGAATAGAGCGGGGCAGAATTACATGAAAGTCCTCTGTTCAAACCCTCCACTGACTCTACAGATCACTCACAATAAAAGCTCAAGTCCCCACAGTGGCCTACAAGGCTCTAAAGATTTGCCCCCTGTTGAGAGACAAGTCTCCACTTCCTGGGGCAGAGTTACTGTTGCCTTTGTTTGGACCACCTTTTTAAAGGTGTTTATATGACAAACAGCCTGTAAGACAGAGTTTGAGCCTGGGGCAGGAATCCGATTTACTATCCAGCGTAACAATGCCTCCCTCTAGGTTAAAGGTCAGGCAGGTTTGCTTGCAGTCCACCAAGATTTGGGGTTCCTAAACTCGGGGTTCTGAGGCTGGAATGCAAACCCGCTCTATGGGCAGCATCCCTGGGGGCCGCTCTGTGTCACCCCTGATGGAATTTGAAGTGGGGTTCGTGAGCACACGGCTAGGAAAGAATTCTTGAGACGTCTTTGGTGCAAAAAGGTGATTTTATTAAAGTCCAGGGACAGCACCCGTGGGCAGGGAGAGCTGCATTGGGTTGTGAGGAGCGATTGATTATATACTTTCAAGTTCGTGGAGGGAGGGGAGGTATAGATAACTTAAGTGTCCAAGGAATTTCTGGATGCTGAAGGCAAGGTCTTATAGGACCCTGAAGATTTAGCTGTTGTCAAGATAAGGTTGCTTGTAGTTTTTAAGGAAGTGCAAACTTTCTGACATTAAGGCAGCCCTAAACATCCTGATGAGTGTTACACACTGCAGGTCGCTGACATCTATCAATGGGCTGCAGGCTGTAAGGGGGTTTAATTTAAACTACATTTTTCAGGGCACCTGGGTGGCTCAGTCGGTTGAGCATCTGACTTCAGCTCAGGTCATGATCTCACGTGGGTTTGGGCCCCGCATCTGGCTCTGTGCTGACAGCTAGTTCAGAGCCTGGAGCCTGCTTCCAATTCTGTGTCTCCCTCTTTCTTTGACCATCTGTTCATGCTCTCTCTCTCTCTCTCTCTCAGAAATAAATTTAAAAAAAAAAAGACCCACCTAGATTTCTTTCCTGCAAATTGTCTGGTCCCATTCTTTGTCTATTTTCTAACAACAGTTCGTCTTTTTCATATTAATCGTTCGCTTGTGATGCAGCTACACGTAAATCTTCCCAACTTGTCATCTGCTGAGTTTATTGTGTGATCATTGATGTGTCCGTGCTGCTTGGCCATATAAAACTTTTCTATTTTTCTGTAGTTGACTTTGTCAATCTTTTTCTTTTTTGGTGAGACATTGCAGGTTTACTTTTTTATTCTTTTAATTTTTATTTTTAATTTTTTAATGCTTATTTATTTTTGAGAGGGGTGGAAGGGCAGAGAGAGAGGGAGACACAGAATCCGAAGCAGGCTCCAGGCTCCAAGCTGTCAGCACAGAGCTCTGAGATTATGATCTGAGTTGAAGTCAGACACTTAACAGACTGAGCCACCCAGGCGCTGCTTACTTTTTTTTTTTTTTTTGACCTAGACAGAAAAGACAGAAAACAAAAACAAAAGACAGCACAACCAGGCGCATCAGTATAGAAAACCAGGAGAGGAAAGTGCAGCACTGGATGTCTGAAAGCAAGGCTGAGCTCGGACAGACGTCTGGTGGAACACAACTCAAAGTGTCGCGTAAGCGTTTCAGCAACGTTGAGCGACGTGCGAGGCACCACGACCGTCGTGCACCCTATTTGCAAACGTCACTGACGCAGGCTTCAAAGCCTCTCTCCTTGCTCGTTCTGGCAGGACAGTTTTTGGTAACAATCCTGCTTTGTTATGAACTATGCTCGTCCACTGTGTTGAGGGCTTCTTGTGTTAAGGAGCGTGAAGAATACAAGGATCAATGCCCACATTTTAAAGTAAGTGAGAACTGGAAGTCTGAAAACAAGTCAGGGGTAATCATAGTACGGATACAAATGACTATATCCTGAGGCTCAGTATTAGCAAGTGCTTGTATACCACCTTTTATAAGGTAACCCCCTAAGAGTATTGCCAGAATGTGCCCTTTTCTTTTCTCTGCTCCACCTTTCTTTTTGCCAATTCCTAACGCTGCCAGTAGACACTCTCAGGAATTGCTTAGTGTGTCAGGGTCCCCAGGTGACCCCCATCTGGGTTTGATGATATGCGTGGGGCCTCAGCCCACGGCTACAGCTTATCACAGCAAAGCACGCAGAGTGCAAGGAAAAGGTGCCCAGGGCAAAGCCCAGAAGAAGCCAGGCACTAGCTCCCAGGGTCCACTGCCAGTGGAGTCACACAGGAGGTGCTTCATTTCTCTAGCAAAGGAGCTGTGACGCGTGTGAAGTGGCTGAGAGGTGCAGTGCCCAGGGTGCTTACTGGGGGCCAGCCGCACAGGTGCCTTCCGCCTACCGCATCCCAACATCTAGACTCTCAGAAGGAAAGCAGCCGTTCAGCACAAACCACACCGAACAGACATCTTAGCCACGCTGAGCAACTCTTACCAGGGAGAGTGAAGGGAACTTTCCTGAAATCTTAAGTTCCCAGATGGCAGCCAAGGACCAAAAAGGTAAGCAGGCCCTTTCAGAGGAGAGCACTCTGGTGTGCTGCGCTGCTCTTTTCTGCACACTTCGTGAGAATCCCACAGGAATGTACTTTCAGGCTCAGGGAAGCTCTTCTAATTCAGACAACAAAACATAAAAAGAAAAGACATAATGGAGTCTGCTGCTTGAGATATGGCTGATGCATGCACGTTAATGAGCGGTAATAGTTCTAGTTGATCTTCACGAGCTTTACTGAAAAGTGGAATGAAAATAAATGGAAAACAAAGGAAAATTCAGTTTTGACTTAGTGAACCGAGAATCTTTGTCCTTCAGCATAAACAGGGCTATTTCAGGACTGCTAGCAGCAAAGCTTAGAAATCCTCACACTATGACTGAATGGACGTCGCATGATTACATATAATGAAGCAAAAACAGTTGGTAGCCACTTGGACTTACTAGTTTAGACATGAACTTTAGAAGTAAAAGGTGGGGGACCTGGGTGTCTCAGTCCTTTAAGCATCCTACTCTTGGTTTCGGCTCAGGTCTTGATCTCTCGGTTTGTGAGTTCGAGCCCCACATCAGGCTCTGTGCTGACAGTGCGGAGCCTGCTTGGGATTCTCTCTCTCCCTCTCTCTCTGCCCCTCCCCTACTCACTCTCTCTGTCTCTGAAAAATAAAAATAAATGAACTTAAAAAAATAAAATAGAAGTAAAAGGTAAAGGAGGCATTATAATATCATGTGTATGAAACTAGCTTCCTTCAGCTAATATTTTGAGGGTGGATACTAGAGGAAACTTCCTTTTGGGTACATTCTCTGCCAGGTCTTCTGTCACAGTCATTAAAATAGCCACCTTTGCTAAAGCCTTGTTCATTTTTTCAGATTTGCATCTACATGAGGGATATTTCTAATCGTTTCAAGATGCTTTTCCAGTCTCTCAATGAAAGGCACTGTGAATGCAATCCAATGTACCACATATCTGTGATAAAAGCTTTGATAGGCAAGTTTTCCTGGCACAAGGGCTTCAACAGTCTCTGCCTGGGGAGACCCTCTTCTTTTTTCAGCACTGCTTCCAAATGGTTATTCATGCTTTGCAGAGTATGACACTTCTGAGCCAAAAGGAAAGATGAACATCTGCTGTATCTTTTCCTTATCTTAGGAGTTGAATTTCTAGGTTTTTCGGAGCGATTTCAGCTCGAATATTTGTGATCTGCTGTGGTCACATAACTTATTAATAATCCTATTAGTACTTTCATAGGAATTATGTTCAATTTATAATTGTACTCAAGGAGAATTGAGCGGTTTACGACACTGAGTCTTAAGATCCAAAAACATCATTCATCTTGTCAGCTGACTTAGTTTTCCTGTCTGTAAAACTGGAGCAAGAAGACCAATCTCTAGGGCTGTCTTCAGAATTAAATGAGAACAAGCTTGGGAAGGACGGCAGAGCAGGAGCCTACGTGCCGCTCTGCCACTTCAGAGCGTAGGAACTTGGGCTTGGTTACTGGACGATTCTGAATTTCGGTTCTCTCATTTGCAAAGTGGGGATGAGAATGGCATCTGCTTCATAAGGGCTGTCATCAGGATCAAATTCGACGAGGGCGCTGCTCGGAACATAAACACTCAATGAGTATTAGCTGTTCTTTTTAAAAACAGAGACCTGCGATCGAAAGCAAAGGCTTTCTGGGATTCACCCTAGGTCGAGGGCGGTCGGGCAACTCCTCTTTCCCAGGACCCACCGATTCCCGATTCTGCCCGATCGCCTGCTACAGCAGTCGGACATGAAGTCTCCGTGCACCGAGAGACTCCGGACTCCCGCCCCGCCCTCGGAGCCCCAGCGCTGCCACGTCTCGCGCATCCCGCGGTCCGTAAGGGAGGGGGCGGGGCCACGTCGGGCCCGCCCCTGGGATCGCACGGCGCTTCTGAGCCCGCCCCTCCGCGGCCCGAGTCGTCGGTAGGCGGCCCCCGCGTTGCAGAGCGCAGTGACGCTACGAGGGGGCGGGGCAGGCACGCGCCCGGAAGTCCCGGGGGAGGTGGTGTTACGTATATCCGGCGAGTAGCTGGCGGTTTCGGGTGCTGCTGGGCTGTGTACTGTGAGGGAGGGTCGAAGCTGCCCGCTGCTGCCGGAGAAGCCCCTAGGCCGTGAGTCGGGGGCTGCTGCGCGGGGGGGAGCCGGGGAGCCGGAGGGGCTGGGGCGGACGGCGGGGAGGGTCGGGGCGGAGGCCAGCGCAGGCGGGGTTGGTGGGGGGGAAGTGACACGCAGGCGGTTCTGTGGGGCCGCGGGGCTGGTTCTGGGTGGGGACGGGCCGACTGAGCCGGTCTGTTCCGTTTCCTGCCAGACCCTGGGGTGTCGGGTCGATCTGCATTCCTTCGAGGGTCCCGCAGCGGCTGGGCGGGATAACAGTTTTCTTGTTTGTCCTGGGCGCTCCTGTTTGCGAAACGGTTTCGCATCTCGTCTCGGATGAGCCTCCCAGTCCTTGGTCAGGCGGGTGGGAGTCCTTGATGATTATCCTTGGTTTGCAACCCGGGGAATAATACAGCTCGCCGAGGCAGCGAATTGGCCAAGGGCTCGCAGATAGCTAGAGTGAGCATTCGAACCGGATCTCTTGACTCCTCGTCCAGTGCGCCGCCGCCCCCCCCCCCCACCCCTTCAGCTCTTGTGTTATCTGATGTTTTGAGTCGAACCCTGGATTTTCTTCTTCCACCTTCCTCTTTTCCTCCCTCTCTTCAATGCGTGGACACATTCCTTCATGCACGTTTGGTATAGATGAATGTTTTAGTGATTCTAGGCAAGAGGGTCAGGAGCACACTTGTCTCTCACAGTAAATTCTTTGCTCTCGTGTTTTCTCCTTTACCTCAATCCGTCTGCTTACGTCGTGATAGAGGACTTGTGGTGCTTTGCCTCAGGGCTGACCTTTGACATTTACTCCGCAGCAAAGCATAATTTCTTAGCTAAAAAACCAGCACCTTCCTATCCCTGATCTGTCTGGAATGGTGTGTCAAAGTTGTAAAGAGGATGCATAGAAAGTAACGTATATACTACTTGGCTTGTGCTCCTCGTTTTTGACTTCAATCTGTCAGTCCTGAAATTTGCAAATTTGGTTTTGGCTACGTTGGTAGTGCTTTTGTGTTAGCTGAGAGTTGTTTTTGAGTATTCTAATTTGCAGTAAGATGTCATAAGATGGGTGGTTCAAGGAAAAGTGATAGAATGCTAGTTATTAAAATACTCTTTTGAATGGTTAACATACTCGAAAGGTGCGATTAGTTGTCAGGAAGAAAACTGTAGAAGATTATCATCTGTGTAGGTGGTGGGTTAAGGAAGTCTTACGTTTATTTAAAAACAGTTTTGTTATTTGGATTTGAATTTTATGTGATGTTAACAAGAAGAGCTTTGGCTTTGGAATTTAAAAAGGAGGTTTTAGTCTTGGCACGGACGCTTTTTTTAGTTGAGCAGTTTTGATTAAGCCAGCTGACCCAGGAGTGTCAGCATCCTTGTCTTGTTATCTGAGGCTAAGGATTCCTCCCCAGTAAGGTGTGTGTGACGTTGAGATGAGATGTATATGCAGGTCTTGTATAAAACCGTGAAACTACTCATGAGGGATATGAATCCTGAGATCTCAAGGCTGGAGTAGCCATCAAAGACATTTCATTAACTTTGGGTAGCAAAATAGGGCAACTCTTTGGGTCCAGTAATGGTTTTTATTATTTTTTAACATCACCTGGATAGTTTCTTCAAGCGTTACCCATAGATCATTTTGGAGGGAAGGATTGTAGGACTTTCAAAGCAGGGATGTCAAGGGAAGAGGAACTGGAAAATCAAACTGGTTCAGTTACCATGAAAAATTCCTTAAGTTGGGGTTTTCTCCTTGTGACTTTTGGAGAATTCCGAATTCTTATTGAATTAGGAATATATTTAGAATGATGTGGTAAAACTTTAGAGAGTCTATAAACTATTGACTTTTAAAGGAGTGATCAGAGTAGGAGTGATCTTAATGAGAGGTGCTCTGTAAAGGTGAGCCATGCTTCTCCCAAGTGGGAGACTGAGAAAAGTAGGGAAGGGTGATTGGTTTGGGGGGGCTGTAGAGGAGAGGCACATTATTCCTTTACTTACCCTAGTGGAAACTTAAGAACGGGAACTTTGTAAGTCTATTTAACTCATTGGACTTCTGAAAGTGCAGACTGAGTTTCCAGACACATTATTTGACATGCTAAATTTGGTCTCTGCCAAAGTATGTTTTAATTTAACTGAAAAAGGCAAAAAAAAAACAAACCCAACCCTTATTTAATATCTTTTTTTTTTTTTTTAATTTTTTTAATGTTTTATTTATGTCTAGGAGAGAGAGAGAGAGACAGCGTGAGCAGGGGAGGGTCAGAGAGAGAGGGAGTCACAGACTGAAACAGGCTCCAGGCTCTGAGCTGGCAGTCAGCACTGAGCCCGACGCGGGGCTCGAACCCACGAACCGCGAGATCATGACCTGAGCGAAAGTCGGACGCTTAACCGACTAAGCCACCCAGGCGCCCCTTAATATCTTTTTATTAAAAGCTTTGACCTTAGCCTTTACCTTCACCCAAACTCCTAAGCTTCATTTGGCCTTCCATGAGAAGAGTCATAGAAAATAAGCATTAAACAGTCCCTGAAGTTTATAGATGAGGCTTAATTAAAAAACAAGCCCCAGTTATTGGGCAGAAAAAAGAAAATTAACGTGTATTATCTCCATTTTTCAGTTTTTTTTATGTAGGTGGATTTTTGTGGGATATAGGTGGGGTTTTGTGGATAACCCTGTTAAGGTCACTAGTAAAAGTACCAAAAGTGAATTTTTGTTTATTATTTTAAAGAAACAAAAATTCATGAAAGTTATATTTGATAGCAGTTGGTCGCATCTAGTATAGCCTTATGTTCAGATGCTCTTGCTGATGGAGAGAGGAGTGAAAGCAGAGGATCTTTCTTTTATTCTGCACCAAATCTGAGGGAGAGTTAGGTCTTGATTATTCAGATTATGAAAGGATTCTTTCATTTCTTCCTGGCTCTCCAAAATAGTCCTCTCTTTTTATAAGTTGAGACACATTATCTGTAAGAGGGGCCCAATCACTGTTGTTAAAGAAAGATAGCATTGCCGAGTGGAGCAGGACAAATTATGTCAGCTGATAGGATTTGGGTGGCTTTGCTTTTCAGAGCTGTTTACAAAGAAGGGTTAATATGCTTTCTATTCACGTTAACGTGCTTTTCATTTTCGTTTTTCTATTTAGTGTATTGATGTGACATTTTGATCCAGATTATTGATGGGACTGATTTCCTAGAGGCTTTGCTTGCGGGTAGACAGCAGGGGTGTATTTAGAGAATGTGAGCAAGCAGCTGCCTGGAGTAGTAAGTCAGACGGCAAAAGAGGAAAGTTTATCTTTAACTCCTAGTCTTTGGGGTATCATAGATTAAAAACGGTTAGGAAACCAGGACTTTGTGCGGCTTTGAGGACCCCAGAGACTTCCTCCAGGGTGCAAAATCCTTTCTTTCCTTGGGGCTGGAGACATGGGACTGGAAAGATGCATCAGGGCTACAGAAGAAGAGCTAACTGCTCCGGAACTGTACTAGCATTCGGAAAGCTCATGTTTGCCACTTTCATATCTTCCACAGGTAGCACGCGTTAATAATGTCTTTCATCTTTGAGTGGATCTACAATGGCTTCAGCAGTGTGCTCCAGTTCCTAGGTAAAGCCATTTCCTTAAGCTCTGTCTGAGGTTTCAACCTTTGTACGTTTCCTCCAACGAGCAGCCTTTGGCATGCAGAAAGCAAAATGACGGCAAAATATCTTTCTTTCTTAGGCCTCTACAAGAAATCTGGAAAACTTGTATTCTTGGGTTTGGACAATGCGGGCAAAACCACTCTCCTGCACATGCTCAAAGATGACCGACTGGGCCAGCATGTTCCAACACTACATCCCAGTAGGTTTGAAAATACCAGGTGACCTTTTGATATTTGGAGGTCAGTGTCAGGGTTGGGGGAAGAGTCCCCAGGTGATGCAGTTCCTGTATTAACTGAGGTCCCAGAAGACCGCTCATTTGAAAAAATTCACTATGGGACACACTCAGGTCATATACTCAGAAGTCCCCACTTCTGGAACTCTGTCAGTGTTTATTCTCACTAATTCTGGAATGGGACCCATCTCCCGTATCTCCTTCTAAGAAGCAGCAAACACTTTGTGGAGGAAAAAAACTTGACTTTTTAGAATAATTTCAGAATATTTTCACTCTTGTATCCTTTACAAAATAAAAGCTTCAGTACGTTTTTCATTTATTGGCTTACGATACTGGTAGCCGGGCCTTGTTGGATGAAGAAGTTTATTTTTTTTTTCTATTTTAACATTTTTCAGCATCAGAAGAGCTGACAATTGCTGGAATGACTTTTACAACCTTTGATCTTGGCGGGCATGAGCAAGGTAAGAATTCACTGAAGAACGGTATTGACTTATGGTTCACCATTTTGGTTCTTTTCACACCCTATTTTTTTTTTTTTTTTTTTAAGGCAGTGTGATTTTTACCTCTTAAGTCTTGATTAAATTATGATTGAGATCTTGTTAAATGAAGTTGTTTTATTTACTTATTGAGTAATATCAAACTTGTCAAAAGTTGCATAAATACAGAGAACTCCACTCCTTTATACTTTCTGCCCTGATTTATTAGTCTCCCTCTCTGTGTAATACGTATTTGTGTTTCAGTTATCTGACCCAGGGGGTTTTATTTTTATCTACTCTGTGGTGTATACTTCTCTTATTGCCATTTGTCTCCATGATCTCCTTTATAACATTTTTCTTCTCGAACAAGATCCAGTACAGAATCACTCACGTATCAGATTTCATCATGTCTCTTTTCTATCCCATACTGAGTGGAGTGTAAGTATGTAGAAAAGTGTTAGTTTTGGTAAGTAATTTCAAGTTTGTCCAAAGTGCAGAAGTAACACAGGGATTACTTGTGACCACTCCGATCTGCTGTGTACGCTCTGTCCTCTTGGCGTGGTTGGTAGGACATTTCCTTCCACCTTCTTGTTCTCCTCGTGCTTTTTGCCTGATGCAGGCTGTGCTCGTTTGGTTCCTAGATTCCCATCAGATGTCTCGTGTGGGTTTTGGAGATCCGTGGAATGGGGCATCATTTTCTGATGGACACTCACTTTACATTTGGCAAGACTCTCAGCATACGAGTGAAACGTTTAAGAAGTGGGAATAGGGGCGCCTGGGTGGCTCAGTCGGTTAAGCGTCTGACTTTGGCTCAGGTCATGATCTCATGGCTTGTGAGTTCAAGCCCCATGTCAGGCTCTGTGCTGACAGCTCGGAGCCTGGAGCCTGCTTCTGATTCTGTATCTCTTTCTCTCTCTGCCCCTCCCCTGTCTGTCTGTCTCTCTGTCTCAAAAATAAACATTAAAAAAAATTAAAAAAAAAAGAAATGTGAATAAATATTCTGGGGAAGTAGAAAAAAGAAACTATTGAAATTCTGTTGTATCTATTCATTTGTTATTAAATTGAGTTGAGAAGTCTTTTGGAGCATTCATCATATTATTAGGTTGAATGTTACATAGCTTTTTAAAAGTAGATTAAAAAAACCCCACGTTATTGGCAGCTTTAATTGGTTAGCCAAGTAATTTTTTTTTTTTTTTAATTTTAGAGAGAGAGCAGGTGCACGGGGGAGAGGGGCAGGAGGAGATGGGAAGAGAAAGAGAGAGAGAGAATCTTAAGCATGCTCCATACCGAGCATGGAGCCAGACGTGGGACTTGATCCCACACGTGGCCCTGGGATCATGATCTGGGCCAAAATCAAGAGTTGGGCACTCAGCCACCTGAGGCACCCATTAGCCGGTGGTTAAAATTTTGGTAATTTTAATCAAAAGGCTAAGGGGTGATCTAGATGATTTTATATTCTGTGATTTCATTAACATATAATTACATTTATTTTATTCATTGGATATTTATATCCCACGGAATCCTATGTAGTACAATCACAGTCACATAAAATACCTGTACAGAAAAAAGATTGAAAAGAATGTATACAAAAACATTAGCAGCATGTGTGTTTCAATGGAAGATTACAGATGGTCTTATATTTTTTTTTCCTTAATGAGCTTGTATTATTTTCATTACAGTAGAAATGGGTGTATGGTGGCTTTTCTGCTTTCCAAGGATTTAAATTCAGAGATAATACAATTATAAGCTGAACAGAGACCATTTGGAGAATGCAGGAATAGAAGTTTTTAGATACCTGAACTCAGAATTAAGTTGTTTGGTGTGATAGGTTTAGCTTTCAGGTTTTGATAGCGTAAGAAGGGAAATGTGTCATATATAGTTTTGTTTGAGGAAAATTTATTTAACAGAAATACTGTATCATAGTAACATTTTACAAAAGTTATTAAAGTGCTATACATATGGAGGTTTCCTTTTTTAAAAAAAACTTTAAATGTTTAACTTATGAAAGTAGCCTAGGCTCAGGGTGTCTGGCTGGCTCAGTCAGAAGAGCATGCGACTTTTGATCTCAGGGTTGGGAGTTCGAGCCCCACATTGAGTGTAGAGGTTACTTCAGAAAAATAAAGTAGTTCAGGCTCAATGTAACAAATTCAGTCTATAGTCAGCTTACGAATATGGAAGATGAAAGTTTCCCCAGCCTCTCCTTCCCCATCCCACTTTTCAGAGTTAACCAGTATTAACTCTTTGATGTAGAGATGCTTTGTTGTTCATCCCACTGAAATGAATGGCTTAGAAATTATAATACAATTAAAGCATTGCTTCCAAAATCTTTACCACCTCATGTCTTAAAAAATTAAAATTTATAAGGTATCCTGGTTTAAAGTTTATTTATTTTGAGAGAGCTCAAGCGAGTATGGGAGGGAGGGGCAGAGAGAGAGAGAGAGAGAGAGAGAATCCCAAGCAGGCTCCATGCTATCAGCACAGAGCCTGACGCCAGGCTCAGACTCACGAACCGTGAGATCATGACCTGAGCCGAAGTCCAGAGTGGAGACACTTGACTGGCTGAGCCACCCAGGAACCCCAGGCATGCTGGTTTTAAATACGGGAGACTGAGGTACTTGCCTGGAGACCTCAACCACCCGTCAGACCCAGGCTCCTGAGGACGGAGCAGGTGGGCGTGCCAGTACAAGTACACATTGGTTGGCCCAGGGACTAAATTGGGACTGTAGGTATGTGGGTAGGTAATTTGGGTCCTGTGGAGGAATTTAACTCCGAGGTTCCAAACGGCTTTGAGGCAAGGTAGGTCATTTAACTCCGTAAAAGCGACTAGGTGTCAGATAGTAGGGAGAGGTGGAAACTTTGCCGAACGAAAGAGAGCCCAGACCTCGTCTAAAGGGGCAGCCACGTCTCAGTTCCAGCTGATGACTGACCCGTGGGTGGGTGGGTGCGGCATTGCCACATGCTGCAGTTTGGCAGAAAAGCAGGCAGAAAACCTTGATTTTTGAATTTGAAAAAGTCGGATTTAGTTCATGGACCATCAGTGTATACATACCCTGAATTCTGATTTAATACTGGTTAGGACTTGGAGATGCCAAGTAGAGTCAAATGCTTTTGAAACCTAGCCAAGATTTGCCCATTTTAGGACAAAAAAAAAAAAAGATATATCTTTCAAAATACGTATTTTTTTAAATTAATGCAACCATAAACTTTGTCTTTCAGCACGCCGGGTTTGGAAAAATTATCTCCCAGCAATTAACGGGATTGTCTTTCTGGTGGACTGTGCGGATCATCCTCGCCTCATGGAATCCAAAGTTGAGCTAAATGTAAGGTTATAGTCTTTTTTTCCTTGGCCTCTGTGTCTGATTTTTTTTTTTAAGTTTGTTTATTTATTTTGAGAGAGCGTGAGTGCGTGCGTGTACTTGTGGGAGGGGCAGAGAGAGAGGATCCCATGCAGGCTTCTCGCTGTCAGTGTGGAGGGTGACGTAGGCTCAGTACCTTGAAACCAAGAGTTGGTCACTTGCCCGCCCGAGCCACCCAGGCGCTTCCTGGCCTCTATTTCCTTTAAGCAACACAGCTGAGCGGTGCCGGCGCCTCATCATTCCAGTTCACATCTGATGAAGGTCCTGGTTGTAGGAAGAAAGTGTTTTAAAATCTCAGACATTGCTTTTCACTGTCCTGAGGAAACTCAGCTCGAACTCGAGTAAGTTAACTTTGTTTGTATCTCTCATAGGGTGACTGTGGCCCTTTTGTTCAGACGACTGCCCAGTACATGTCTGTTGTCCCAACATAATTAACCCCCTTTCCTTTCACATGTCACATACAGTCAATGTTGATGAAGCGATGGCTTAGTTAAACCTTGGGAGTGATACTGAAGTTCTTGATGCTTTTGAATCCGGGTCCTCACATGGTGGCTGCCCACTCTCGCGCTGAATGACTTGGCACACGTGATCACAGTCTGTCCTCAGTCTTCAGTTTTGGTCACCAGCAGCGTTTGGTACTGTCGAGGGCTCACTTCAAGTTTTTTCTTTTCCTCAGTATTGCGTTTCCTTGGCTTCACAGTTGCTGTCATGTTGCTTTTGTTACCCCTCCTGCTTCACCCTGTGCCTCTTTTTATTTGATTTCTGTCTCTGCATTCTTGTTCCTGGCAGCATGAACTGTGTCACATTTATTTGTGAGTGTGTTTCTTGAATTTACAGCTCTCAGCTCAGTAGCCTTGCTTAGGAGGCATCCCTTCCCTTACTCGACCTCTCGGCACTGGTATTCCCTCTTCCTTCGAACTCCCAGTCACATTCTTGGTCTTGGTGTGCTTTCTCTGGCTGGTACTTCTCAGATTCTTTCACAAGCACCCTTTCCCCTGGGTCTGTACTTTCTCCCAGGCTGGTCCAGGTCACTCCCATTCCTTCCGTCTGCCACCCACCTGCTAGTGGCTCCCAAATGGATTTCTCTTGTTTTTTGTCTTTTTGTTTTTGTTTTTAATTTTTTTTTAAGTTTTTTATTTTTATTATTTTTTTAATATTTTTATTTATTTCTAGGAGAGAGCGAGAGAGACAGCGTGAGCAGGGGAGGGTCAGAGAGAGGGAGACACAGACTCTGAAATAGGCTCCAGGCTCTGAGCTGGCAGTCAGCACAGAGCCCAATGCAGGGCTCGAACCCACGAACCGCGAGATTGTGGCCTAACCGAAAGTCGGATGCTTAACCAACTAAGCCACCCAGGCGCCCCTTAAGTTTTTTATTTTTGAGAGACAGAGAGACAGAGCATGAGATAGGGAGGAGCAGAGAGAGAGGGAGACACAGAATCCAAAGCAGGCTCCAGGCTCTGGGCTGTCAACACAGACCAACCCGGGGCTCGAACTCATGGACTGCAAGATCATGACCTGAACCGAAGTCGACACTCAACGACTGAGCCATCCAGGCGCCCCTCTCTTGTTTAAACCTCTCTTGAGCTCCAGCCTCATACATGACACTGCCTACTAGACAACCCCACCTACCAATTCTGGTTTTCCGGAATGGAACTCTTCCCACTGCTACCTGCACACGTGCTCTAGGGCCTGTAAATTACTGTAGATTTCACTGCCCCCCCCCCCCCCCCCCCCCCCCCCCCCCCCCCCCCCCCGTCACATGCCGTAATGCTAGAAGACTTGTCCTTGGCCTACGTAACATCCTTTAATAGCTCTCTGTCGCTTTTGAGATAAAATCCACAAATCTGTATAGCATATAAGCTCTCTCCTGATCTTTCCTCTGTTTATTCCTCTAGCTGCTTTTCTCTTTACTGCCTACCTTGAACTCTATTCCAAAAATAGAGAGCAACTCATCTGTCCTTCAGTATGCACAGGTGGTTATCCCTGCTTATCTTTCTCACCGATCCCCACCCCCTTTTGCTGGTAAATTAAAAAATACCCTTTAAGAGGTCTCAGAGTTCAGCCACGACCTCTTCAAGGAAGCCTTCTCTGACCTCTGAGAGGGTTGTCTGTCCGCCGTATCAGTGTTTGTGGTCTTTACTGGCTTTCTTGTAGGTCTCCTCATCAGATCGTGAACTCAGTAAGGACCTAGTCTTGCTTCTTTGTGAAACCCAGGCACCCAGTAAAGCGTCACACTTAAGTAGGCATCTGGTTAGCATTTAATGATTGAATGACATCCTGGCTCTGATCTTGTCTGACATTTCCTGGAACTTAAGATGGTCAAAGTATGTTCCCCTTTATCCCTTCAGCTCTCCTCTGTTTTCCTAGCTTTCCCTGTCAGTGGTCACTGGTTTCCGAGGCTCGAGATCTCTGCCAGCTCTGGCCTTTCTTTTATCTGTCTTCTCATCTAGACAGCAGTCTCTGTGCTTCCCCCTCCGTGGTGCCTGCTGCACTGTTCCTGGGACGCTGCCATCTTGGGCTAGGTTGTTGTCTCTTGAGCACAGATTGGATGAACTCAATGTGTTTTTTACACACAGTTCTATCCAGGAACCTCTGGATTTAGGATCTGTCGGAGCTACCGTCTCACGCTGGCACCATAACGGTGGTCGTACCTTCCCGTTCTGTTTTACTGCTTGTCAGCGTAATGGCAGGCAGTGCTCCATGTGACTTTCTGAATTCTTTTCCTACTGTAAGGCCATTGCTTATATTCTCCTTTCTCCCTATCCAAATCCCGCCCCTCTTTCACAGCTTAGTTTGGGTTCCTCAGGACTCACTAAGACTTTCCTGAAGCCCACCATTTTCCTTGCCTTTGATTTCCCAGAACATCTTTTAGAATTTATCTTCTGTCCCTGTTCATTGTGACACTTCATCATCCACTTGCCGTGCTTTGCTGACAGATGGATGAACATAGAGTGAGGATTTCTGGAGACCACAGATATGTCTTACCTTCTTTTTGTTTCCCTCTCCGTGGCTGACATGGTTTGCACACATCGGGCACTCAGTGAATATCCAGGGAGTTCCTGTAGCCAGAGTGCTTGGTCTTCCAGGACTGCGCCCAGTGGAGAGCTTGAGGCTGGTCTGTGGGCAATTGATTGCAGGGTGAAGGTGGCACAGTTCTGCTGCCTTGTATGTAGACACAGCCGTAGGTTACAATTATTTGGAGGCTCTTAGGGGATTGTTACCTAACGTCAAGGTAATTCCTAGGGCTTCTTACCTAATGTTAAGAATGTTGTATCATGTCAAGATTTTTAGTTAATCACATGGGTAAAAAAAAGATCAGATTTTCACTTTACATTTGGTGCTTTATAGACCAGAGAAAGGGAGAGTTGTTTTCATTATCTGGTGCGTATGTATAGATTCCTCACGTAGTTCTTATGTTGTCTTCAGGCTCTAATGACTGATGAAACAATATCCAACGTGCCAATCCTTATCTTGGGTAACAAGATTGACAGAACGGATGCCATCAGTGAAGAAAAACTGCGTGAGATATTTGGGCTTTATGGACAGACCACAGGAAAGGTAAGAGAAAAATCTCGAGGAGGGAGACCTACGATAAAGGAAACTCACACCTTTTGAAACATTCGTGTCTTGCTGTCTAGATTTTATTTGTCGTTCAAAAGCTTAATTAGGCTTAGGCTTTGTTTTATCGTTGGTGATTTGTAATCACTGAAGGTGGGAGCATGTGTTTTCCCTGTTTTCTCACTGAGATTTTCCTCAGGTATATGGGGATGAAGAAATGGGTAGGAAAGGCAAACTTAGCAATTTAAGACTTTTCTGAGCCCCTTTCAAATCCAATTCAGAGAAATCTTTTATTTTTTAATTGTTTTAAGTGTTTATTTTTGAGAGAGAGTGCAAGTCAGGGAGGGGGAGGGAGGGGGAGGCCAGAGGATCTGAAGTGGGCTCTGTGCTAACATCACAGAGCCTGATGCAGGGCTCCAACTCACAACCTGCAAGATCATGACCTGAGCTCGAAGTCTGACGCTTAACCGACTGAGCCACCCAGGCCCCCCTTTACCACATTTTGATCATTTATCCCTACTTCGATCTGCTTTTGAGGGATGGAGAAAGCGATTCCTGTGATCACTTTCAGGCGTTTCCGTCATGGTGGTGCTCACAGCCTTTTCTTGGTTTTGCCTCCCATAGGGGAATGTGACCCTGAAGGAGCTGAATGCCCGCCCCATGGAAGTGTTCATGTGCAGTGTGCTCAAGAGGCAAGGCTACGGCGAGGGCTTCCGCTGGCTTTCTCAGTATATTGACTGATGTTTGGACAGTGAAAAGAAAAGAGTTCTACTTCTCTGGACTGATCCTATTCCCAGCTTCCTCATGAACTTTTCTAATAGAACAAGGAAAGCTCTTCCACCGTGTGTGGTGTTGAGAAGCCGAGAGTCTCTGTCAGCCCTCTCATCGCCCAGTGGTGACATGTGCTCTTCTCCACACTGTTGGGAGGTGACGCTGCCCCACAGGCCGGCACACGTCAGTGTCCCGGGACGCGGCAGCTGGCGGGATCTGCTGGGTGAAGCTGTGTGCCATCGTGGGGCCCCTGAAAAGAAAAACACGTCTCACCACTGGTTGATTTCAAAAGAAAGTGATTCTATTTTTTAAAGAAAGCATTGTTAACGTAATTGGTGTCCCTCTTCGCATTTTGAGTTCAAAATTTACTTGGTCCAGAGTTTTCTATTCTTTTTTTTTTTCCTCCTCATGATCTAATGAATGGCATTTAGATACTTCATAAAATTATGCACAGAAACACGTCGGAGGCCAGAGCTCAGTCAAGTGAACTCACTCGTGTTGAGATAACAGGTTAGTGACAGAAGCCCCAACCCCCGTGTCGCTGCCTGCCTTGTCACAGGTGGGCACCGCCGTGTGCACAGAGAAGCAGGAAAGGGCGGAACCTGGGCCTGGCAGTGGCGGCCGGTTTGCCCAGTGGCCCGCCGGGGCTGCCCCTCATCGGGGCCCATAGAGCAGGGTGCTCACTGCGGAGGGGTTAATTCTAGAGCGGTTATTTGCTTATTTTTACTTACAGAGTTACAAACTGCAGCCAGCCTTTGCTTTTATACTGTTGGGAAACTTCATTTCTCTTCATACACCCGTCTCCTGTTCCGCTGTAAGAAATGACGTTTGCCTCCTAAAAGAGAACACCTCCTGATTGCCCTGCAGCGCAGGGGGGTGTCTGTTGCTCTTGCACAGGTCCTAGGGGAAAATTTCCTGGATCGGTGAGTTGCAGAGGACAAAGTTAGCAGCTAAAGGGCTCTTAATTCTGTGAGTTGAGAACTTAAAAAAATCTGGTATGTGTATCATTTGTTTGGACCCAGGAAAGATGGATTTAGTGGACTTTAAAATGTTCACTTGCATGATTTGGTCTCTTTATTGGACTGTTCATGAGCTCTTTTTATCGGTTACCTGTTTTCTTGGCGTTTAAAGGTTAACATCTCTAGCTAATTTTTTTTTCTGGTATGAAATTGCTCTTCTCCATTCCAGAAATAAGCGGAATCTCTAAGAACTTTGTGTGGTGGTGGTCTTTTTGAGCCAGCATTCCTTGTCAGGAAGTGCTCAGTATAAAAAGCCTCAGCATCCCCACTAGTGTGATGTGATGAGGATTATTTTTTTAGCGTTCCTTTTTCTTAGTGCCACTTGTAACATTGGATTTTCATGATCTTAACCAAGATTAGACCCTTTCTTAAGATGGGTGGATACCTTCAGTTTTTCCTTTAATGAGAGATTAGAAGTTTCCTCAAAACTGAAAATTGTGATGATGACACTTATTTGCAGAGGATTGAACTAAATAAATTGAGTGGAATTTTGGGTCTCGTGTGAAGGTGGGGAAAGTGTGGATAACAAATTGCAGAGGTGAGCATATTGTTCTTTAATGGCTTTCTCAGTGTTAGTCTTCATGACTGACTCGTTAGGAAAGCATCCTTTTCCACTGCCGGGTGCCGTGCGCAGAGGCTCAGTGAAGGATCAGTGTGGGAAGAGCATGCCATTATTATTAGCAAGCATGGCGGGAGTAAGACAAAACCGTTGGTTTGGAGAGGGGTGAAAGCCTTCAATGAACAAATCTAGCTAATGGTGAATGAGCTAGGTAGTTAACATGCATACTTTTCATTTCCTTTGGCTAAAGGTAACCCATACTTTCTCCAGAGACATGAGCAGTATGAATGCAGTGCTAGTTCTCTTGTTGCTTGTTTTTTGTTTTTTCCTATTTGTCCCTAATCACTTCGTAGCAAGCTAGAAAACCATGGATTCTACACAGCACGGCTCTTTGTGAAAGTGGTGTTATTTTGGCCACTGGAGAAAGAGGAGACTGAAAAGTCTGCTGGCATCCGTCTGTTTCTTGCTCCACAGAAAACTCTGTTCCTATAATAAGGTTGCATAAGAGGCTGATGTGAGGAGCTCGTCTCCCAACGGTGAGGGTCAGAGCTTTGTACAAGTTCTCCCATGAATTGAGACTTTTCATTCTGTTTTATCAGAGTGCACATATGTCCTATTTCAGGAAAAGAAAAACAGTCATTTACAAAAGAAAGTCAATCTGTATCCTAAGCATTTTAATAAAAAGTTAAACTTATTATCCTGTTCCATTTATTTATTGGCTTATTTATTTGCATTATCTTTGTTCTGAGTTTGAATATGACATTGGTTGTATGTGTGGTGGGGGGTGGGAAAGCAAAAGTTCTTTTCCTAGTCACGGGAAGAAATATTTAGAGGATAACGAGAGACAGGTTTGCTACCAGGAGAAAAAAAAGCCAGGCCTGTCCACACACTTCATCCAAAGTCACGGACTGCGTGTGCTGCCTGAGAAGCTTGGAGCCTGTGCCCATCCCAGGACTGGTGGTCATCTCGGCAACAGGGTGGCCATCGTGGACTTTTAAGCAAAATCTCATATTAACATGTCAGCAAGGTCTGGAGCCACTTAAGCTGTTTGTCACTCATTTCATACAAAATTGGAGAGATTCGGTTGAGTGCTCTATTTGGTAAAGTAGGGGAAGGAATGAAACGTGTGCCTGTGCATTTACTAGGCTTGTGGGAAGCCTTGTTTTTAGAAAACCCAAAAGAGAGCCTAAAACTAATGACACAAATAGAATGGGAAGGAAAGTGCAACAGATTCTTTTTGATGCAGAACTAAAAGTATTAGAGGCCATCTTGTGATTGAAACTCATGTCCATATTACTAAGTTGGTGCCACGGGGTCTGTTTGTAGGTGTCATTTGTTGAGTTCAGGTGGAACACGAGAATTACAGGCCGAGCCCATGAGCCCAGCACTCAAGGGGTCTCACCGTGGCTGTCGGCTGTGACTTGGGACTCTACCCTCATGTGCCGTAAACAGAAAAGCCTGATGCGTAACCGTTGGTGCTGGAGGCTTGAGCGTCCCTAAGGGAGAATCACTGGACTCTAGAGAGAAACTCTTAATTACTAGGAAGTTGAAATAGATTTTACTGTGATCAAGGCACCCTCGGTGTCACGGAACCAAAAGACAGTGCCTGCTATGGACGAGTGCTGATTTCAGCCCCACCTCCTTCTGGAACGGACCGTTGAACTTCCTCAAACAGGTTTGTGTCACGGGAGCATGGCAAGTGTTACTCCTGTGCTAGGAACACTCTGAGCCGCAGTAGTTTTATTCAGAGATTGGGGCAGAGAGGCTTTATAATTTAAGTACTAATTGAATAATTTTTGTTACTGCTGACAAATATGTTCTAAAATCTGGGCAGCTGCCTGGTTTTGTATGGTCTACGGGGGTGGGGCGGGGGGAAGATTGCGATTTTGTGACGTATAAAATTCAGCATTCAGTCCATAAAGAAAGTTTTACTGGCACACAGGCACCCATGGCTTTAGCTTTCACATGCTGTGGCTGTAGAGTTGTGTATTTGAAAGCGAATGTATGGCCAGGCAAAACCTGAACGATTGATGCTCTGTCGGGCCTTTTATAGAAGAAGCCTTTGGTCCCTGACCTAGATTAAGTCCTAGGTGGTGGTTATAAATGTTATGTGAAAAGGGCATACTGCACAGTTAGGGCTGTAGAATTAAAATTTGACTTGTTACTCTTCAGCATAGTTTTAAAGGGGAATTTTATTTTGCAAAAACCGTTTTCCAAAGTTCTGTCCTGGCCTTTGGCATCAAAAGGCCCTAGGTGTAGTCCTGTGAGCTGCATGCCACCTAGTAGGGTTTTTTACAGAATTTCAAATCACTGAACTGGCCAAGGAGTCAAGGATTTCCTTGCCCTTATTACCGGAGGGGGGGGGGGGGGGGGGGGGGGGCGCGGTCAGAGGCCGCTGTTTTAGACCTGAGCAGATACTCAAGTTCTGTCTTAGCCTGGGCAAGTCTAGTCACGTCAGCCCTCATTTCTAGTCCTTTTCCTGCAGCCCGACGAACAGAGAAGGGATCCCACCTTGCCCATGCCCCATCTCTCCGTAAAAGCACACACCGGTCACTCTCCCTAAGCTCACCTTCCCGGACTGGGGCTCCCGCTGGGTCGCGCAGGTGGCCGGAACCCGTGAAGGCGGGGAAAGGGGCGGGGGTCAGTCTGGGTAGCCAATCAGGGCTCGACTCCAAGCCCAGCCAATCGGGCCCGACAAGTTGGGGCCTAGCCAATCAGGCTCGACAAGGGAGACCCGAGTCAGTGTTTGCGCCTTTCCCTTGCAGCTTCGGGTGGCGCTGCGGGGAATCCGGGGTCCCGGCCGGGCTCCTCGCTTGCTTCCTTGTTCCCCTGGAAACCCCGTGTGCCCCGTCCCGGAGGACATGGCGCGGCAGTGGGGGCTCTCCATGAGGGCCGCCGAGCGGGCGGGCTGCGTGGTGAGCGCTTCCCGGGCCGGGCAGCCCGAGGCGGGCTCGTGGAGCTGCAGCGGGGTGATCCTGAGCCGCTGCCCGGACCTGGTGCTGTGCCACGGGGGCATTTTCACCCCCTTCCTGCGGGCCGGGAGCGGGGCGCTGAGCGCGGCTGGCGCCGCTTTCCTGCCCGGCGACAGTTGCGGCGACGACCTGCGCCTGCACGTGCAGCGGGGTCCAGCAGCCGCGAGCTCCGTGGGCCGCGCGGAGCGGGGCCGCCCGGGGCTCTGCACGCCCCAGTGCGCGGGCCCTGAGGCCGGCCTGCAGGCCCGACCCCGCGGGCAGCGACTGCAGCCCCCGCGGCCCGCCGAGCTGCTGCTGCTGCTGAGCTGCCCGGCCTTCCGGGCCCACTTCGCGCGCCTCTTCGGGGGCGAGGCGGCGGAGCAGTGGCACTTCGCGAGCGCGGCGCCGGAGGACGAGGTGTCGGAGGATGAGGAGGAGGATCAGCTGAGAGCGCTGGGCTGGTTCGCGCTGCTGCGCTTGCGGCCCGACTCCGAGGAGGAGGAGGAGGAGAAGGCGGAGCGCGGGCCGGCAGTGGCCGTGGCGCCTCTAGGGGCCGTGCCCAAGGGCGCGCCGCTGCTGGCCTGCGGCTCCCCGTTCGGGGCCTTCTGCCCGGACATCTTTCTCAACACGTTCAGCCGCGGCGTGCTCAGCAACGCGGCCGGCCCGCTGCTGCTCACCGACGCGCGCTGCCTGCCGGGCACCGAGGGCGGCGGAGTGTTCGCGGCGCGGCCCGCGGGGGCGCTGGTGGCGCTGGTGGCCGCGCCCCTCTGCTGGAAGGCCCGCGAGTGGGTGGGCCTCACGCTGCTCTGCGCCGCCGCCCCTCTCCTACGTGTCGCCAGAGCCGCGCTGGGCAGCCTGTGTCCCGGCTCCGATGCCCTGGCCGCCCTCCTGCCGCAGGAGATGAGCGCCCCTTGGGGCCTGACCCTCCGAGACCCAGGACCCCCGTGGGCAACTGCAGCCGTGCTGGTGGCGTGTGGCACCGTCTGGGGCTCCGGAGTGGCCGTGGCGCCCCGCCTCGTGGTGACCTGCCGGCATGTGGCCCCTCGGGAAGCCTCCAGGGTCCTGGTGCGCACCGCGCCCCCCAAGTAAGGCCCGCAAGATTGCCCCAACTCTGCCCCCTCATCAGGTCTCTGAGCGTGACTCTGAAGATTAGGGAGGCTTTCTGGCATCATGCTGATGCTTTGATGGTGTAGTATGGGTGCAAACCTGAGCCCCTCCCCTCATCCTTGGCATTCAGAGCCCTAGTGTAGGCGTTCTGGACCTCCTTCCTGGCAGGGGTTGAATGGGGCTTGGGCAAGATGCCAAGCACCTCAGGACTGGGGAACTGTGGAGGGGGGGTCCCCAGCATTCCTGACTAGGCATCTTTTAGCACTCCCTCCGGGGCCTGAATTCCTTCTAAAATCTGACCGCTTTCTGGGAGCCCCGAGGCACACAGCACTAGGCCCTTTGATGGAGACTTCCTAGCCCCGTGTTTTGTCCCCTGAAAGTGGTAGTGAAGCTCCAGAGGCCCCGGATGCTGCCTTCCTGGAGTGATGAGAGGGGCCTGTTACTCTTACTTGACTGCTCTCTTAGATCATGAGCAGATCTTCCCATCGGGACAGAAATGACAGGTGTGGGGCTCCACCTAATCCGCATGTGGGAGTGGGGGCCCAGCACACAGATGTATTTTGAACAGTCTCTGGGTGATCCTGACAGCCAGGTTGGGACTTCAGTCATTTGTCCCTTCTCTGCAGGGAAAAGCACCCTTGCTCTTTACTTCCATTTGCTAGGCAGTAGGGACAGCGGCCTTGGCCCCTTAGCTTGTGTTTTTCTAGTACCTGTTCTGTGTCTGCTCTAGTCCCAGGCCCTTAACTTAGGCAGGAGCAGAGCAGTATGCACCTTGGTGTTAATGCCCGAGCTTCTGTACCTACCTCAGCCTAGCCATGCAGTCCATGCCTTTCCAGATTTTTCTACAGAATGTTCAGCGTTAGCCCGGCCCAGCTTCGCCGTAAGGGTTTCCCGCTGGCGGCCAACAGGGCAGCGGTGATTTTACAAGGAAGACTGATAATGAGGATTTCCCTGTATGGGTGGCACCCCAACCCCCACCCCTCTTCACCACACACATCCTCTTCTGGGGAACCCACCAGGTCCGCTGGAGGCGATCCCTGTGGACTGTGTCGTGGGGATCCCCGTGTGAGCCTGGGCAAGTCCGTCTAAGCTGCCCTTCCGTGAGTTGACATGTAAAGTCTTGGTACAGAGCCCGGCCCACAGTAAGAGCTGTAGATGTGCTAGCGTTTATGTATGTAAACGGGGACACAGGATTGATATCATGTGTCTGCCCCACCAACCGGCAGCATTGTCTGCCTCAAATGAGGCAGTGAAGGAAAACACTGGGAATGCTTGCCCTGGCTTCTGCCACTTACTGTGTGACCTTGAGAAAGTTACGCAACCTCTCTGGCCCTTAAAGGCACCATTTAAAATGGCACTGATAGCAGCGCCTAGTGCTCAGGACTGCTGGGAGACCTAAAGGAGATGGTGTGCACAGAGCATTCGTGGCCGGCCCGGCCGCAGTGCTCTCCAGGTGTCAGGTGTTTAGGGCATGCGGCGAAGTGCAGGAAGCTTCCGCAGAAGTACGTTACAGTTGGTGAAGCCTGTTCGGAAGTACCGCAGAATGGCTAAGTGCCCACATGTCCCTGCCTGGTACGGTTCAGGGCTGATGCCAGATCTTTGAACTCCCTGGTCTGTGATTTTTACCGTCACTCTCGTCCCCTTCTTCCTCCTAGTACTACCGGGTCAAAAAGCTAGCCTGTCATTTTGTTCCCCTTGCTCCCAGGAGTGCTGCGATCTGGGGACATGTGGTATTTGCCACCCAGAAGACCTCGCCCTACGACGTGGCAGTGGTGAGCCTGGAGGAGGAACTACATGATATCTCCCTGCCTGTCCCTGCTGAACATTTCCACGAAGGTAAAGGACAAGGGTCCTTCTGGTCCAGGGCGGAGCTCGGGAAGCAAAGTCAGTGCTGGACATTCTAACCCTCTGGATCCACCCCTGCCGCAGGCATGGGGCAGGGCGGCGCCAGGCTGGCGTGAAATCATCCTGGTTTCGGTGCCTTGGCTGGAGTTGCTCTTGGAAGCTTCCCTGCTTGTGCCCAGCATGCCTCAGGTCCCGGGGGCAGGTGGGCTCCCTTCGGGCCGCCCTGCAGCAGCGTCATGTGGAGGGGCTGAGCTTGGGGGCTCCTTTGAGCCACTCCAATGGTGTGGCATGCTGTGGAAGTACCAGAGGTCTCACTGTGTGGGTGTGGCGTGATGGAATGACAGAGACCACAAGCTTTCTGAGCTGGCCTCTCGTGCCACCTGCTAGCCCTGTGTCCTCGTACAGGCCATTTAATATTCTCTGCCTCAGTTTTCACATCTGTAAAACGGAGATAATGCTCCCTACTCCCGGGCGTTGTGAGGCTTGGGTAAGATGTTGCCTGTAAAGCATTTAGCCGCATGCCCTGTGCATTCAGAGTGCTTGGTAAAGGAAGTTGGTGGGCAGTCTGGAGTCATCATCCCCACTTCTTTCTTCACCAAGAGACTTCTTAGTCCGAGGAGGAGATGGGTGTTAACTTCCCGAACATTTATGGAGCCCAGGGCTGGGTGCCAGGAACCCTCAAGAGTAACTGAGTGGTCCGGCAGGGAAATGAAGGCTGGAGAATAGTCCGATGCCGAGGACCAGTGGTGAGCAGGTGCGCTGCGAGATCAGCGGAAGTCCCGTGGGGGCCCGTGGCAGACTCCCTGGAGGCAGGAGTACCTTCGCGGCAGCCTGAAGGGCAGGGAGGGTTTGGAGCTTCGGAGGGACAGAGATGACCCCCCAACCTCGCCCTCCTTTCTCCCCTGGCAGGAGAAGCTGTCAGTGTAGTGGGCTTCGGCATCTTCGGCCAGGCTTGCGGGCCCTCGGTGACCTCGGGCATCCTGTCAGCTGTGGTGCGGGTGGGTGACACACCGGTGATGCTACAGACCACGTGTGCCGTGCATGGCGGCTCCAGCGGGGGACCCCTCTTCTCCAGCTGCACTGGAGACCTCCTGGGTAAGCAGCTCCTTGGCCCCTCCCAGCCTGCCCCCTGCCAGAGACTCAGTGGCATCCGGTGAGGGCTGGGTATACAGCTGTGGGGGCCACCCCCGGCCTTGGATGACAGCGGGCCTTACGCCCAAGAGATAGTTAGCCAAGGTCGTTAGACACTTGTGCTCCTGACAGTGGGGAGGAGCAGCTGCTGAGTCAGAAGGGAAGAGATCTGAGTTCTGGTGCCTTCTCTGCCGCTAAGCCACTCCACAACCTTAGGTAAGTCACTTAATCTTACTTAATCTATGAAACTCAGGAGTTGGATTAGTCCAAGAGGCACAGGTAACTGAATGAATAAGTGAAGACAGCAGGGATGGAGGGTCAAGGGTGAACTGGGTGAACAGCACTCTCGTGCAGCACATTGGTGCCTCATTCCATAGGAGTGTGGGCCTAATGCTGTCCGGTTCTGCAGTTTTTCTCTAGCAACTCTGAACCTTTTTTTTTTTTTTTTTAAATATGTGGTTGTGAGATCTTTTGATTTTAACATTTCGGTTACTAATTCGGGGTTTTTTTAAGTCTGTTTATCAATTTATTTGTTTATTGTTTAATGTTTATTTATTTGGAGAGATGGAGAGAGCATGAGTAGGGGAGGGGCAGAGAGGGAGGGAGAGAGAGAATCCCGAGCAGGCTCCACACTGTCAGTGCAGAGCCCGACACAGGATTCCAACTCATGAACCGTGAGATCGTGACCTGAGCCAAAATCAAGAGTCGGACACTTAACCGACTGAGCTACCCAGGGGCCCCAATTTATCCACTTAAAAAAGCCAGCTGTGAATGCGTGTGGATATACCTGCAGCTGCAGTCTGGTACCAGGTTCGTGTGATTCCTCCCTTATTTCTGACCCGTTTCTCACATAGCGAGAAATCTTGCCTTGCTCTGGCTCACTGCCATGGATTTACTTATTTTTTCACCTGTAGTGCACAGATAAAGTACTTTCAGAATTCCTAACTCACACCGCTGTGAGAAACACATTCCCTACCTAGACTTATAGTGTTTGAGTGTGGATAGTTCTTTTTATCTTTAGCCATAAAGTATCCCAGCAAAAAACAGTGTGATCGAGAGTTTCATGGGTCAGCTCCTTTCTTTTCCTTCCCCTTTAGCGCGATTGGATGATTCACTGGTGATACAATTAGATGCAGTTGTCACAGTCTGCCTTCCATCCCCCCGCCTATTGGTTGACTTAGAAACCTATATATACTGATATGTGAATACAGAAATAAGGTTAGGTGTGTATACAGGCATGCGTTTGTGTGTGTGTGTGTGTGTGTGTGTGTAAAATCTAGCTCTGTCTGCTGAGAGGAGGGGCTAGAAGCAGTGACACCCCAGTTGTCATGAGCACCCAGAGAACCCAGATCTCGGTTTCTCTAATAAAAGGCGCCAGGAACTGATTCATTGCCGGGCTGAGGCAGGGAAAATCCAAGATGAGCCCAGAGTGCCTTGTGGGGCTGGAGAGGCAGGAAAGGCTAACGACAGAATGATCAGACATGTGACAAATGAAGATCCGACGTGAAGAGCCCTCCTGAGAACAAGTTGAGCTGTGTACCACACGGCAAGAGTGTTGGACGGTAACCAGAAGAAAAGAAGGAATATCTGAGTCCACAGTGACATCAGTAACTGAATACGCTTTTAAAATGGAGATGAGCGACAGCTCTTCCTGACAGAAGAATTCCAGAAAGACTGAAACTGACCAGACTGGAGAAGACTTAGGAGACATGACAGTTAGATGCTTCCAGGACCTTGGATTGGAGCCCGGAACAGAAAAAGCATTTGTGGAATCACTTCAGTGAATAGCCTTGTTCTAAGGTTAATTTCCTGGTTTTGATCATCGTTTTGCAGTGACGTGAGGGGAAGTGAGATGAAGGGCACGCAGGGCCTCTGTACTATGTTGGCAAGGCTCCTGCAAGCCTAAAAAAGTACATTCCCAGGGGTGCTTGGCTGGCACACAGACACGCGCACTGCGCAGGCCAAACAAAACTTGCGTGTGGGTCTGATTCACTTATTCATTCAGTCAGCAAGTATTTGTTGAGTGTCTACCCCGTGCCAGGCACTGTTCTGCAGGCGCGAGGGCCTGCTGAGCCAGGGCCATGGAGGGGACATTCGTGGAGAGGAAAGTAACAAAATAAGTGAAACGTTGTTAGGTGCTGACAGGGTTAAGGAGGAAGTAAGACTGGGGAGCAGCACTGGGTGTGGGGAGCCGGAGGCCACGAAGGAGTCTGGGTGTCGGTCACTATGAGGGGGGTTCGAGCCCCCTGTGCTCCTAGGGCCTCCCTGCTGGAGATGGGCCTCACTTCCCACCCGTCTGCCCTCTGCTCATCACCCCTTTCCTCTTTGACTCCTCAACAGGCATCGTGGCCAGCAACACCCGGGACAATAACACGGGGGCCACCTACCCTCACCTGAACTTCAGCGTTCCCATTACGGTGCTCCAGCCGGCCCTGCGGCGGTACGGCCAGACCGGTGACCTGGGCAGCCTCCGAGAGCTGGACAGCGCCACTGAGCCAGTGAGGGTGGTGTGGCGGCTGCAGCGGCCGCTGGCAGAGGCCCCGCGGAGCAAGCTCTGAGCTGAGTCAGCCCTCCGGGGAGAGGAGCCGCCGTGCAATGCCACAGGACGGGCGGAGGGTGGCAGCCTTTAAGACCCTGCCCCGGCACACCCCAGCCGGGCCGCCTCCCCATCCCTGCCCATGTTGTTCAGCTCTGGAATCTGGACCAAACTTCCCTTCCACCCCACGGGTCTCCAGCCTGGCAGCCTGTTTGGGGGTGCTTTTTGGAGCCTTCACCTCTCTCTGCCCCCTGACACTAGACCCAGCGCTGTTATGTCTCCTTCTGGGGAGCCCCTGGTCCCCTGGTCCGCATAACAGCCCTGGTCCCGACGGACAGGTGCTCCTGGAAGGCAGGCCCCGTCCCGGCTCTGTGTCTGTTCCTTATCTCCTGATGGCCGCTGGCCACCAGGGCCACCTGCTTCCTTGGGGCTGGGGCTTCCTCAGAAAGGCCAGCTCTGAAGACCAAAGAGGAAAAAAAAACCTCTCTGTTCTACTACACATTTAGGTGGAGTCTCTGAAAGTTAGAATTTGTGGGTCTTCATATGTCGGGTGTCGCTGGCCTCCAGGGGCACTCTGACACAGTGCCTTTACTTTCCAGCCCATAAAATGGGCCTCAGGGATCTCGAAGGGTAGAATGTGTCTAGCTGGGGGTAGAGAATAAAGAAGATGTGTAGGAGAAAGTCTCTACTCCTATCTAATAGGTTCTTTTTTTTTCCTTCTATGTTTCGAAAGTTGCACTGGGAGTAGGGAACCATCAGGCACAGAAATATACCTTTCCTGTCCTGCTTTCTCAGCTGGGGTGTGAGCTCATGGCAGTCTCTTGCGCCAGGCTGGGCCTGGCCTCTGGTCCTGGGGCCCGTCAGCACTGTGTGGGGCTTGCAGAGCCTGGAGGGTGGGGGACTTGGCATGGAAGCGAGTGTTTACAGAGTGCCCGGGGTGTGTCCAGGCCTGTACTGGACCCTGGGGGTGGATTGGGGAGTTTAAAGTTATCAAGGAGACCAGGGCAGCCCCAGGGAGCTAAGACCAACCCTGCAAGTCAAGAACATGTACTGTGCACCCAGGGTCCTGCACATTTAGGCCTTCACGTCATTGTCATTGTCAGGTCAAATGCCTTTTGGGGGATGACTCGAGGGCTAATTCTAAGCAGTGAGAATTGCTGAAAGTGCTTTGCTTCTAACATCTACCTGTGGAGTGCCACCTCTGGGTGACCTTGACCTCATCAATTCCTGTGATCATCGTTCTCTCCCTTACAGATTAGGAATGGTCCGGGGAGCAAAGTGAGTCCACGGTAAATTAATGCAGGCAGGGGGTGCGGGCTGAGGTCTGACTCAGCTGCGAGCGGGAGGGAACGATACATTCCGGCGGGCACCAAGGAGCAATTCTGGGGAGGTGGGTGTGTCAGCCCAGCAGTGCGACCAGCAGGGCTGCTCTGTCCACTCAGGTGGAAGGCTGTGTCCTCGGGCCCAGGGAGGGGGCATCAGGCGAGGCCTCATCCAGTTGTCTTAGGAGCTGAACCCCAAAAGGAGGGCAGGAAACAGGCTATTCCAGGTTGAGAGTAGCAGGAACTGGGACGAGGAAGTGTGAAACCAGGTGTGTGTGTGTGTGTGTGTGTGTGTGTGTGTGTGTGTGTGTGTGCTGGCGGTACTAAGTACGGGGGGAATTGGGAAGGAGCAGGGCTGGGGGGTGAGGAGGCAGCTCCATTGGCCCAGAGTGTAGGGATGGGGAGAAGACGGCTGAAGCAGGACTGCTGGGCATGGCGAAGACCTTGCCAGGGCACCCGAGGTGGCCCTGACTGCACGGGGGCCGAGGCAGAGAGAGAAAGACCAAACGGTGCCTGAATACCTGGCTAGCACAGTAATGGCTGACAAGCTTAGGGACGAGGTGTTTCCTTGGGGGTCTGTGGGACGTCAGGCAGAGAGGTGCAGCCAGCTGTTGAGGAAGGGATGGGTTAGGATAATGTAGTAAAAGCCCCCCCCACTGCCCCCAGCTCAGTGGCTTAAGACACGAGGTTTATTGCCCACGGAAGGTCCAAAGTGGTATACCTGACGAGGAAGGGAGGAAGGGAGGAAGGGTGGCTCTTAGGCAATAGTTGTCGAGGGACCTTGGCCCCTTCCCTCTGCTGGTGCTGTCACTGGATCTGGGACCTCAGAGTCTCTGCCATGTCCTCTGTAACTGGTGGGTGGATGGGGGAAGAGAGAGAGAAGAGATATTCCTGCTGATTTTTAAAAAATAATTTTATTTTGAAACCATTTCAACATAGAGAAAATCGCAAGAATCCCCATACACCCTTCACCCAGACACCCCATTCCACTTTTGCCAAATGTCCCTGTGATTTTTTTTTTTTGAGAAAGAATGCAAATGGGGGAGGGACAGAAGGAGAGAGAGAGGCTTTTTTTTTAAAAGTTTATTTATTTTGAGAGAGACAGAGATAGCACAAGTGGGGGAGGGGCAGAGAGAGAGAGAAAGAGAATCCCAAGCAGGCTCCACACTGTCAGCACAGAGCCTGATGTAGGGCTCAAACCCATGAACCGTGAGATCATGACCTGAGCTGAAATCAAGTGTTGGACGCTTAAATGACTGAGCCACCCAGGCGCCCCAGGAGCAAAGACTCACTTCTAAGGCGTAGTGTTCAGAACCTCTGGACAGGTGTCAGAAACCTCCTTGACCTGGGGAGGCTCTAGGGGCCACTAGGTGTGTGTGATGACTCAGCATCCTTCCTGCTTTGTCCCCCCCCCCCCCCAGTTTATTTATTTATTTTTGAGGGAGAGATAGAGCACTAATGAGGGAGAAGTCCCAAGCAGATTCTGTCCTGTCAGTGCAGAGCCTGATGTGGGGCTTGAACTCATGAACTGTGAGATCATGACCTGAGCGGAAATTAGGAGTCGGACACTTCTGTCCTCCCTCTTCTGCCTCCTCTGCACTCAGTCTCTCCTTCCTTGTAAGTGCAGTTTGCAGTTGGCCATCCAGACCTTTCTGGCCCTTCTGTCCATGCCCTTGATCTCTGGCTCTCCTTGTCACATGCCCCATTTCCAGATTTCCTCAATAAATGCCCAAGAGAGCAGATGTCCGATTGGGCCCATCATCTTCTCTTGCCTTGCTACAGCTGGGGCCGTGTCTTCAGAGCAGCCACGGTCAGGCTGGGTTCATTTAGGCTGCGAGACGACCTATACTGCTGTCTGGATTGCGCCTGAGGCTGGGTGCTGTCCCCTGAAGCGGTGGGTGCAGGTACAGGTGCAGTGAGGGTCTGGGGCCACCAGCGTTTGTAGGACAGAGGCAGAGCAGGAGCCTGAAAGGCGGCTGAGAAGAGACCAGCAGAGGCACAGGAGGAAAACCCGGAGGCTAAGACCTAGCTCACCAGCGTCCCTCTTCCTCCTGGGTCTATGCTAGACTGCGTTTCCTGGCCATTGTCATGGTATGTCCGTGAGTTCCAGCTCATGGAATGGGAGCAGAAGGGAGGTGTACCACCTCCAGGCCTTGTTAGAACAACCTCTGTGTACTAACCCCTCCGCCTGGTGGGAATGGAGGGGACCCCTAAAAGACCTTGGAAGCCTCTTGTTTAAGATGGCCTCTGTCTGTCTGGTCCTTGGGAGACTGTGTGCTGGGGGCAGCTTCCTTAACCAGTCCATGGGCCTGGTACAGCTACCCAGGCAAGAAATGCACTTCTTTTGTATTTGAGCCATTAGATTTGGGGATCTATTTGTCACGGAGTAGAACCTACCCTTGTGAATACAGTCTGTCCCTAGCTGGAAGCACTATACCCAAACCACATTTTGGGGGAGAGATGAAGAAACAGGGAGATTCCCCCTGTCCTTTGAGACTTAAAATTTAGCTGGAAGTACAGATGGAGAAGGAAAACACTACGTTTGCCAGGGTTAAGGGTTACCTCTTCCTCTAGTGGGGATACTGCCTCTGATTCTCCCAGCCCCTGAATTGACCCCCGTACGTTGGAGCTCCTCCCAGCCCCGGGAGCCAGCGGTAAAGTCACCTGTTGTCAGTCAGGAAATGTGAGCTCATGGCTGAGAGCCAGCAATGCTTCCTTCTCTTAGATTCTGTGATGTCAGGCAATCTGCCCGCCATTCCTACTAATCATTAAAGTCCCATATTGCCAGTGCTTCTGCATCCAAACCGTACCTTCCTACTGCCTCTGGCACTTGCAGATTCAGAGGCAAAAGTCCTTTGTTAGTAGGTAAGGAGCCCTGATTTTCAGTTCCAAGGCTCTGAGTTCCACACTTGAGTGGGAAAAGAGAGTGGTGTGGAGGAGTGGTGTGGAGTGAGTATGGGGTTGTTTTTTGGACTGATGAAAATGTCCTGGGATTAGATAACGGTGATGGGTACACAGTGTAACACTTCTGAACTGTACTCTTTAAAAGAATGAACTTAACATTATGTGAATTATATCACCTAAAAACAACCCCATTTATTTATGCAAACGTAAGAAAACTAGGGAACTAGGTGCTGGTTGTAAGCCAGATGTTTCGGGACCTAAAGTCCAGCAAAGCACATTCTCTGCCCCAAAAAGCAGGTCAAATGTGGTTGTTGCCCTCCTTAGTGTCAGTTTAACCTCAACCCTGCTTTTTTTCTCGGAGTGTCGGGGGCAAAAGGACATAAAGGCTATTTGGAAGTTTGCAAAGCCCATGACAAACGCAAGGCTTCAGATATCCAAGCCGTGGCTCTCTGATGGTTCCCCAAAGGCCAGGATTAGGACAGGCAGGGCCATGAGCACTCTGCATGGTTGCTTTTCCGTGGCCCCAGGTGCTGAGAGAAGGGGGTAGAGATTCCCCCACCTCTTAATCCCCTCCTTCAGCTCCACTTCAGGCGGCAGGGTGCCAGCCAGGATGAGGCAAGGATTTCAAAGAACTGGAAGGCGCAGGCTGGCCTGTGCAGGCTAATAATGTGGGTAGGGTGCTCATGGGAGGACCCCAGCTTCCCTCTCAGCTCACGATGGTTCTGGGCACCAATGTCTTCTAAACGGAATTGACCACAACCCTTCCCATACCAGGGATATTGCATACAAGGCCCTTGGCCACAGCTTTTGGAAAAGGTACAGAACAGGCCAACTGCTAGTGTGAACGTTCATGAAAGCCGAGAAGACGAAGGGCATTATTCAAAAGAGCACTGGGCTGGGAGCCAGGAGCTGGGACACAGTGTATAGTCTTGGGCAAGCTAATCTGCCCACACAAAACACCTATAATAAATGGCTGCTGTGTATTTGGTGCTGTGCAAGCCAGGCACCAAGCTAAACCACTTCACGTAAACGATCTCATTGGACCTTTCTCACAACTCTTAGGCTTAAGTGCTAATACTTCCATTAAACAGACGAAGATGGCTCATGTGTTCCCCAACTGGCTACATCCTACCGCCAGGTTCGCTCTAGATCCTAGTCAAGCCCCTTCGTCTCCTGGACTGCCCTCCCGACTAGTTCCCCAATTTCCGGCAGCCTTGCCACTCCCCGATCCCTTCACCAGAGCACAGAACTCAGACCTGTCACTCTCCTTCGTAAAGCCCTGCGGGGGCGTCCCATTGCCCTGGGGATGACACGGCCCCACCGGGGCCTGGAGGTCTGTTACACCCTGCCCACGCTGGGCCACCCCGTCCTGTGACCGCCCCCACCACGCCCCCGCAGTCAGCTCTTTGTCCTGCCTCTGCGTCTTTGCACAGCCAGAGCACACCTGCGTCGTCTCCACCCGCGGCCAACTCCGGCTCGTCCTTGGAGAAAGAGGCCTTGGCACGCTTCGGTCTCTCGTAGTGCGGCTAGCGATACAGGTTTTGTGTGTTTACTGTCCTTCCCTGGAATGTCAGCTCCGCGGAAGGCAGACACGGTGTCTGTTTTGCTCTCCATCCTGCCCCCCACCCCTCCCGGCGCCGCGCACAGTGCCTGCGTTCAGCGGGTGCCAGGCGGCGCGGTTGGCCGAATTGGGATTTACAGGCGTGCGGCTGGGGGCTGGTGATCCGCCCGATGTGGAGCCGCTCTGAGCTCTCGGGGCTTCCGCGGGGTCTAGGCAGACAGGCGGCCGAAGCCGGAGGCGCGGGGAAGGCGTTCCTGGCTTCGAGCGCTCACGGGGGCCGGAGCGCGCTCGGTGTCGCCGGAGCTGCGGGCTCGGGTTCGCTGCCGCAGGGCCCCAGGCGGCCTCCAGGGGCGGTACTGCGGCCGGGGGGGGCGGGGCCCAAGCCACGCCCACGCCCGCCGGGAGGGGCCCCGGGGGCGCGGCGCCCCCGGAGCGGACTGGCCGGGCGGTGCGAGGGGCGGGCTCTCGGGGCCCCGCCCCCCTCGCCCGCAGGCCCCGCCCCCCTCGCTCGTCGGCCCCGCAGGCGCCGGGAGGGGCCTGGCCTGGCCTGGAAAACGCGGTAGATTGCGGATTGAGTCCGAGAGCTCCGTCCACTGGCGGCCGTTGTGGACCTGGTGGGGGAGGGCGGTTGCTCAAAGTACCCGGCCCAGGCCTGCTGCACCCCAGTTCCTTCAGCATACGAAAACTGGGAGGGTTAGGCCCGGAGGCCAGGGTAGGGCAAACTTGCCCCCCTGCCCCACCCCGTCTGTTCCTCGAAACTTCTCAGGTCTTCCCAGGTAAGACGGGCGGCCCTCTCCATGCCCCCGACTCTGGGAGGCTCGAGAGTCACCTCTGGGTGGAAGCTAGTGTCACGGGGCAAGAGGAAAGTCTGTAGGAGGGAAATCCCTCGGGTTACCCGAGCGCCCAGACTCCGGGGTGCGCTAGGAGGGCTGCTTCTTCCCCACGAAGTCCCAGTTTCCGCGGGGACAAAGGCCAGTGGTCCCGAACTAACCCTTCCGCATCTGGGAAGGCCAGGAATCCTGAAGTTCACCAGGAGCTACTTTTAGGGGGTGATGTTGGGCGCTTTCCTTCCAACACCACCCACTAAACACACCGGCCTTTCCCCTCCAGCAAGAGCCCCTCTGATCCTTGGATGTACCGTCGCGGCGGGGAGAGGAGAGGCCCTTGGGAGCTGATGATCCCACAGGGAGACAGACACAGGGCAGAGGGTCACACAATTTGGGAAGGGGCTTTCGGGTGTCCCAGCCAGCTCCTACCTTGTGTTCAAAGGTCAGCATGTACAGTATGTAAATATGGAAAATCTCAGAGAGGCCTCCTTAGGCTGGTGTGCATACATGCATGTGACCATGCTAGTGCCCCAAACTCTCAGGCCCCCCTGCCCTCACCCTTGTGGCCAGAGGAGCCCTGGTAGGAGCCCTGGGTGTAACCCAGCATCTGGGGAGCTTCTGCCTTAGGAGGGGAGACTCAGGCCCAGTTGCGCCTGGCCTTGTTCAGGACTACTTAGCGTTAGGGGGTGGGGCTGGGCTGAGCCGGTGTCCCCCAGGGCCAGCCTGGGCTTTGGTGGTGAAATGAAGATGCCAGGGCCCAGACACGGGCAGTGAGCAGACTGTAGGTCGGGGTGTTGAGGGAACCACAAAGCGACTTGCTCCCAGGGGGGTGTCCAAGTTCCATGGCCATGATTTTCTCTTTTGAGTGTACGGGACACCTGAATGAACCTGTCTGCCCAGAGCCACCCCCTCCTGGGCCAGGAAGGGACGGGCCCCTCTCCATACTTTCTGTTCCTTCAGGAATGGGTCTTTTCTGGGTTAGATTCAGTGTGTGTCCCCTGAGGGGCCAGCTCTCACTCAGCCTGCGCCGTGAGGGAGGCTGCCTGCCCCTCTCACCCCACAGGTTCAGGGTGAGTCACATTCTAGTGGCCCCCTCATCCCGACAGCCACTGTGGAAGTATGGCCATGGAGATCTGCCCTTGGCATGAGTCTGATGACTCAAAGCATGGCCTGTTTTGTCATCTCTATGAAGCAATGCTGGGGCAGTGTCCTTACTCTGGTCAGAGCCCAAATGGGTGCTGCTGTGTTTCTGAAGCGTGACCTCTTAACAGCTTTGGCACAAATGTAACTCCCTTGCTTTTCAGTAGATTCCTAACAGCCCCTTGTTTGTGTCGTTAGAGAAAAATCATCCTGTGGTCAGGCTGGCGTCCTTGGCAGAGAAAACAGGATTTACTGGGAAAATACAAGTGTAAACCAGATTGTGTGTGTGTGTGTGTGTGTGTGTGTGTGTGTGTATGGAAGTGGGCAAATGCAAAATTAAATAGGAGTTGCTGGACAATTAGGATTTGTTCTCTTGGATGTTCTTTTTATTTTTATTTTGAGAGGGAGAGCGCGCATGTGTTCATGTGCAAGCAGGGGAGGGGCAGAGAGAGAGGGAGAGAGAGAATCCCAGGCAGGCGCTGCACCATCAGCGCTGCGCCTGACACGGGGCTTGAACTCACGAACCCAAACCCAGAGATCATGACCTGAGCTGAACCCGAGTCAGACACTCAAGGATGCTCAACTGACTGAGCCACCTAGGAGCCCCTGGACATTCTTTTATGCTAACATCCCTGAGTCTAGACAGATTTCATTAAGATTCTCTGGGGTCACTCTCTCCCTTGGCTTGATGTTCAGGTCAAAATCAGATGATGGAGTTGGTGGTTCTTCAAACAGTTGAATCTAGAGTTGCTGGACACCTAGCGATCCCGCTCCTAGGGATATGTACTCAAGAGAATTAAAAACAAATGTCCACACAAAAATTTTTTACAGACGTTCATGGCAGCATTATTCATAAGAGCCACAAGGTGGAAACAGCCCAGATGTCCATCAGCTGAACAAATGGATAAACAAAATGTAGTATCTTCATACAGTGGACTATTTTTTTTTTAATATTTTTTATTTATTTCTAGGAGAGAGAGAGAGACAGGGTGAGCAGGGGAGGGTCAGAGAGAGAGGGAGATACAGACTCTGAAATTGGCTCCAGGCTCTGAGCTGGCAGTCAGCACAGAGCCCGACGCGGGGCTCGAACCCACGAACCGCGAGATCACGACCTAAGCGAAAGTCGGACGCTTAACCGACTGAGTCACCCAGGCGCCCCCATACAGTGGACTATTAACCATAAGAAGGAATGAGGGAGTACCTGGGGGCCTCGGTTGGTTAAGCGCTCGACTCTTGATTTCAGCTCAGATCATGATCTCACGGTTCGTGGGATTGAGCCCCGCATCGGGCTCTGTCCTGACAGCATAGAGCCTGCTTAGGAGTCTCTGTCTTCCTCTCTCTCTCTGCCCCTCCCCTGCTTGTGCACACACACTCTCTCTCTCATAAATAAATAAACATGAAAATTGCAAAAAGAAGGAATGAAATAGCGATGCATGCTAGTTTGGATGACTCTTGAAAAAACTATGCGAAGTGAAAGAAGCCAGGCACAGAAGGTAAGGAATAGGCAATCTATAGACACAGAAAGATTAGTGGTTGCCAGCGGCTGGAGAGCAGAGGGAACGGGGAGTGAGTGCTAATGGCTAAGAGGTTATTTTAGGGGTGATGAAAATGTTCTGGGATTAGGTCATATGATGGTTGCACAACTTTATGAATGTACAGAAACCGCTGTATTGTTCAGAAACCCCTGTATGTTCAGAAACCGCTGAATTGTATACTTCAAAATTTTATGATATGTGAATATCTTAAGTTAAAAAAGTAAATGATAGGAGGCCTGCCTTATTTTTAAACTCTTATTATTTCTGTAAAAATGAAAATACTCCAACAATACATGGGGTACCTGGGTGGCTCAGTTGGTTAAGTGTCTTACTTCGGCTTGGATCTCAAGAGTTTGTGAGTTCGAGCCCCACAGTGGGCTCTGCTCTGACAGCGAGGAGCCTGCTTCATTCAGATCCTCTGTCTCCCTCTCTCTCTACCCCTCCCTTGCCTCTAAAAATAAACATTAAAAAAATATTTAAAAAAAAGTTCAAAGAAGAAATCTAAAACATCACCTGGTGACCACTCTTAGCATTCTGGCTTAGAGCACAAGTTCTGGTCAGAGTGTTGAGGATTGAACTTGGAAAAATTATTGAACTTGTTTCCGAAGTGGGGAGAAACACCCACACCTGTTCAGTGCAGAGATATGGATAAAAGTGCAGCGAGTCTGGCTAATGTGATCATTACGTGTCTGTGTGTATGTGCCTGACTGCACAGACGGGGTGAGGCTTCACATGCTGTTCTATTCCCTGACTTCTTAGGGATAGCCTTTTCCTTCCCCCTAAGACTTTGTATTTATTTTTTTATTTAAAAAATGCTTTTTAAGCTTATGTATTTATTTTGAGAGAGAGAGAGAGAGAGTAAGCACGGGAAGGGCAGAGAGATGGAGAGAGAATCCCAAGCAGACTGTGCACTGTCAGTGAAGAGCCTGATGCGGGGCTTGAACTCATAAACTGCTGAGTCCGTGACCCGAGCTGAAACCAAGAATTGAACGATCAACTGACTGAGCCACCCAGGCGCCCTTAACACTTTATGTTTTTAGAGTAGTGTTGGGTTCTCAGCAAAGCAGAGGGGAGAGTACAGAGATTTCCCATATGCCCCCTGCCCCGACACAAATACAGCTGCTCCTGTTATCAGCCTCTCTTACCAGAGTTGATACACCTGCATTGACATAATCGCCCAATGACCACAGGGTTCACTCTTGGTTTTGTACGTTCTGTGGGTGTGGACTAACCATGGACAAAATCTTCATGTGAAAAATCATCACTCTGAAAACAAATGGCTCCAGAATATTCCATCGTATGGATGTATAATCGTGTAGTCTGCCATTTCTGGAGGCTTCCATTGATTGATGGTATCTCCCACTTGCGGAGGCTGTTTCCACAGCACTCCTGCTATGTCAGAACATCATCAGTTGGATAGATGCTTTTTGACCACCTTTAGGGTGTGTAGCTGGGAATGCAGGTCTCTGACTTAAGCCAGGTTAGGTGTCCTGCAAAGTAGGTCGTGCCTAGCAGAGCCTCACTGCCCTTGGGGCCACGGGAGAATTAGCACCAGAAGATCCAAGGAGGGCTGGCGAGTCCGAGAGTGTCGGGGAGATGAGGCCGCTGGGGGGGAAGGTGCAATGGGCCAGGGAGCTGCCAGCCTCCATTCCTCAAGTGGGAGCGTCAGAGGCTAATGGAGGAGAACAAATTCCCCAAGAGACCTCAGGCGGCTTGGACGGTAAAAGAGCTTCCCCTCCCCAGGCCCAGCTTTGGCGCCCTCCTGGGCCTGGCTATGCCCTCAGGCCCCAGACCCTCCACTGGGAGCTCTGGAGAAGCAATTTGCTTTTATTGAGGGGTGTGCCTAGTTGGGCAAGGCCAAGGTTAGGCTTCCTTTGGGGAAGCCAGCTGATGGTCTGGGGGGCTAGGTGGGGGCAGGGAGTCAATTCTTTGGCCAACCCACTGTCTGTCAGGCCCATGCTGGGGTTGCTGGGCTCTGTGCCCTGGGAAGGAGATCCTGGTGGTCAGAGCCCGGTGTTAGGCCCAAACGCTGCCCTGGCAGCCTGACACGTGTGTGCTGGCACCTGTCCCCTGCCCTCCTGCTCTCCCCACTTGTTCCCTGAACTCCTCCCACCCCCAGTCCTGCTGCCACTGGACTTTGTGGCCTGAACTTTTCTTCAGCCTACGGTGAAGGCTCCTCTCCTCGGCTGTTTTTCAGGGCTTTTCCTTGAGCTGCCCCGTGTGCTCCCTGTGAGCATCCTGTGTGAGCTTCCTGAGCTGCCCTGCGTGCTCCCTGTGAGCACCCTGTGTGAGCTCCCTGAGCTGCCCTCCATGAGCTCCCTGAGCTGCCCTCCGTGGTCCAGTGTGACCTGACCCACAGTGGACCCTGTCTTCCCAACAAGTTGTATACCCTCTCCAGGGCCTGTGCCCTACTTGGAAGCGGAGTTCTGTGGCTCTTCCCCCACCTCCTTGCTGACTGCTGCCCCCAAGAGTAGGCTGGCACGCAGTAGCGGCTGTGTTGAAGGTGAAATGCACGTCTTCCATAGCCTGCCTCATTGCCTGCCACATTCAGGCCCTGCTCCGCTCTTGGTATCCTCTCCTGACCTCTGGCTGGGTCTCTGGGCCCTCTTGGGGCCTGGCCTTGCGAGATAGTCTCCTTCTGGCCCAGTTGGCACATTCAGCCTGATGAACCTCAGGGGACCAGCTCTGGACATCCTTTTTGAGGGCCTGGAACAGTGAAGGTGGCTCTGGCTGCTGGGGACTTGTCTTGGTCACAGCCCTGCTGAGGACTCAGTTTCCTCATCTGTAAAATGGGTGGAATGTACAATCCTTGATGCATTGGGGACCGTTCAGCCCATGAGGAACAAAGTTAGATCTCTTCTGATTTCCTGGGCCTAACCCTCCCAACCCCCCTCCCCCACACCCAGGTTCTGTCTCCCCAGGGGAGACATGAAGCAGCGGGGATTTGAATACCAACGAGAATGGTGCCTGGAGGCCCAACCAACCTTAAACCAAACTTAAATAAGTGGGGGAAGATCCATGTCTTGGAAACTTACTTGTGCAAGGACATCTCAGGGTGTTGCCTCCCATTATAGGCCCAAGGAGGGGAGGGGTTGTGCCCCAGGCCACACAGGTGGTGCAGGACTGAGTAGTGGCCTTCCAGCTGCCTGTGCTGCTGTCTGAGAGGGTCCCAGATGGCCTGGAACATGCTTCGCCACTGAGCCTTTTGACAGCTTGCTGTCTGTCCTTCAAGGTTGTCCTGAGTTCAGTTTCTTACTTCTCTGTCCCCCACTCCCCCGCCCCCACTCCCTGAGCGAGCCCTGAGGCCTGGACCAAGAGCGCCTTTCTCTGGGGCTAAGCTGTGCTGAGGACCAGGCCCCTTGCTACAGCCCCAGGCTGGCCCCTCGGCCCTCCACCGAGGCCTACCCTGGGATACACCAGGTGACCTGGGGCCTTGGGAGGGTGCGCCTGGTGGACAGTCTCCCAGGCTGGCCCGAGAACTCGGGTCAACTTTGCTACCTTCTTCTTTTTCCTTGGCGTCCAGTGGTTCAGTGTCTAGTGACCTCTGCCTCGGAAATCGCCAGTGTCCGCTTCAGTTCTGGGCCAAGCAGTGGTTCTCGAATTTTAGCTCCTCAGGGATTCAACCAGTTGCTTCTCAGTTTCGCAGGAGCTGGTCAGGCTGCCGCAGTCCACGTGTGGGTGTCTGGGGCACACTTGGCTTGCAGATCTGGTTCCCACCCTCTGCAGATGCTCTCACAGATGACCTGTCCCAGGCATGGAGGGCATGGAGCAGGACCTTGCCCCCCACTGCCTCTGACCGGAGCCTGTGTGATCCGGGTTCTCCCTCACCCTCTTCCTACCAGCAGGTGTTTCTTTCTGCCCCCTGGGGGATGTGGCTCATCGATCTCGGAGCACATCTGCTGTCCCAGGAATGCTGGGGGGGGCGCTGACTTGCCTACTGCAGGTCCCCCCTCCACTGCTATGAACTTAATCATACCATATCCTGTTTTGCACATTGATTGTCATAACCTGCCAGTTGATCTCCTTAGACCTGGGGCTCAAGGAAGCCAGGCAGAATCAGTGTCTGGTTGGAGCAGCGCTTAAAGAATTTTGTTTAGTTCTCTGAATGTGGCCTGTGCGTGCCGGTTCCCCACAGGCGTGCCACTGCTGCTTGCCACGGTGCGCCTGCCCAGCTTCCCTTCACCTCATGCACCTCGCCCTTGGAGTCTGCGAGTCCTGCCCTCACAAGGGCAGAGCCCATATCTGTCGGTCTGTCTGTGATTATGGCGCCGTAGCACAGAGCACGCCCCAAAGCAGGGACTCAGAGGTTAATGTGTGTTGTCGAGTGAAGAAATATAATGAGTGCAAAAAATGCACAACAATTTAATGTGGGCAAAAAGGAATATTGTCGGTGCCCAGATTATCTCTGGAAAGATTCATATAAACTTGGTAAGAGTGGGTGCCTTGGAGAAGGGAGCTGGGTGGTTGGGGAATGGGATGGAGTTAGGATGTGCCTTGTTTCTTTGGAATTTAATTCAAATGTTACAACTTTGGAATTTCTTTAATAGACACATAATTTAGAAATTTAGATTTAGATTTAGATTAGAGAGATCAAGTCACAGGGTGCCTGGCTGGCTCAGTCCTTAGAGTATGTGACTTTTTTTAAATGTTTATTTATTTTTGAAAGACAGAGGGTGAGTGGGGGAGGGGCGGACAGAGAGGGAGACACAGATCCGAGGCAGGCTCCAGGCTCCGAGTTGTCAGCACAGAGCCTAACGCAGGGCTCGAACCCGCGAACCATGAGAACGTGACCTGGGCTGTAGTCAGACACTTAACCGACTGAGCCACCCAGGTGCCCCGAGTACGTGACCCTTGATCTTGGGGTTGTGGGTGTGAGGCCCATGTTGGGTATAGAGTTTACAAAAAATAAAAAGTAAATAAAAAGATCAAGTCTTGGCATGTGGGGCCCTTCTTGCTGTGGGCACCCCTGCCCTCCCAGCGCTCCAGACCCCCAACTCTAATATGGTCTCTCCCCCTATCCCAGCAGCGCCCGGTCCCAGATGGGGTCCCAGGTCTCCGTGGACATGGGAGCTGTGCACGTGGTGGTCGTGGGCGGTGGCTTCGGTGGGATCGCCGCTGCCAGCCAGCTGCAGGCCCTGAACATTCCCTTCACGCTGGTGGACATGAAGGACTCCTTCCACCACAACGTGGCAGCCCTCAGGGCCTCCGTGGAAAGCGGTAATGGCCTCTCTCCTGAGGCTTTCTTTGTGAGAGTGGGCTTGTCACCGCTGTGGGTCTGGAGGTGGTTTTCTCCACTTAGGGCATGGCCTGAATTCTACTTTTAGAGCAGTTCTAGAGATTTCTTTTTTTTTTTTTTTTTAATGGTTTTTATTTGTTTGTGAGAGAGAGAGAGACAGCATGAGCAGGGGAGGGTCAGAGAGAGAGGGAGACACAGAATCTGAAGCAGGCTCCAGGCTCCGAGCACAGAGCCCGACATGGGGCTTGAACCCACAAACCCAGATCTTGACCTTAGCCGATGTTGGATGCTTAACCGACTGAGCCACCGAGGCGCCCCCAGTTCTGGAGATTCTTAAGAAGGTCACTGGCCTTAAGCCGCGGCCATATCAAGGCTGTAGAAGTAAGAGCTGGAGCTTCCCTAAGGACCTTGTGAGGCCCAGGCTGGTGCTCTAGGGGGTGGTGGTATCCCTGGAATACCACTGGCTCAGCTGTTTGGCCAAGGATGCCCCTCAGGAAAGGCTCTGAGTTATTCTGGCTTCCGGTGGGCAGCCCACTTTTACTCTCTGACCCCCTCTGTGCCCATTCCCCAGGGTTTGCCAAAAAGACCTTCATTTCCTACTCGGCGACCTTCAAGGAAAACTTCCGGCAGGGGCTGGTAGTAGAGATAGACCTGCAGAATCAGACGGTGCTGCTCGAGGATGGTGAGGTGAGCGTGCTGGGGGCTGACCCGACCCTCAGCTGGCTTCAGGAGCCCCCCACCCTGCCCCGGGGGCTGCGGCTGCTGGGGGGAGGAGAATGCGGATGCTCTCAGGAGCTGAGGGAGTTGACTGTGGCCCCTACATGGTGCCAGGTGGGTACCAGAAGCCTCGTAAGCAAAGGCCCGACCACAGCAGCCACAGAGTGTGGTGGCAGCCTTTTCCTCGGCCTTTCCTGTACGCCAGGCACTGTCTTAAGCCTTCCTTAATCGCATTTCGTGCCCACCATGACTCTGTGCAGGAGGCGGTGTAGCCTCACTTTACAGAGGGGTTAAGTGGCTTGCCCGAGATCCCACACCTCCTAAGAGACTCAGCCAGGATTTGAACCCAAGCAGTGTCACCCCAGAGTGTACGCTCTGAAGCTGGCATCCCAGACCAGGCCCAGGCTTGGCCAGCCCGCGGGGGCCTTCCTGGCTGTGTAGAACCAAAGGGTAGGTACGCATGTGATCCCACATGGCCCGGATTGGGAGGTCACTGGGGCAGAGGTCTTCATTCCTGTCTGCACCCGCTGGCCCCGGGTGGAGCCCAGGGCCTGGTGTACGACTGCAGTGACTGGAACTCAATCAGTGAGCTGCTGTGCATCGTGTTAAGGGTCACCTCCAGCCTGGCCCTTTGATCTACTCGAAGCTCAGGGGGCACTGGAGAGAGGGGACTCAGTTTCCGTCCTCAGTGATTTCGTGGGAATCAATCTTTCTTGAATTAATTTTTGGGCTGGGGCATCTCTTGATTGGAAAGATTACGGAGTCTCCTTGCCCTGTGGTTTGGGCTGTGCTCCTTAGAGCCCTGGAAGAGACCATGAGGGCGTCTCGGGCCTCCACGGGGAAGGAGCTGAGCGGGACACAGCCCCTCCGTTCCCCTCTCCCCCAGAGCGGCTCTGGGTTTGCAAACTTGATGTATTTAGGCTCCAGACAGAATTTCCCTTCTTCCCTCCCTCCCCTCCTTTTTTTCCACTGGAGCATGAGAAGTTTCTAGTAGAATCCCTGGGAGATCCTAAAGTGACCCTACATGGGAAGCTAGAGTCCCGCTTATCTCCACGAGTAGTGTCGTGGCCCTGCTCGCCCCCCTGCTGCGGTGGGAGCGCACCCCTCCCATTGCCGGAGGAAGGGGCTCTGGGAGGAGGTACAGGCCGCTTCCTTAGGTATATCCCGGGGCTCTGGTGCTACCCCTTGGCCCAGTCAGTGTCGTGGTTTTGCTCCTTTTCAGAGGAGGGTGGCCTCAGTGTGCCCAAAGTGGCCTCCCCGACCTGGCGCCTCTTGCCCAGCCACCTGATGGCACGCAGCAGTGGCCCAGGGCTGCCCTCACTTCCTTTCCTTTGCCACCCATAGGCCCTGCCCTTCTCACATCTTATCCTGGCCACTGGCAGCACCGGGCTCTTTCCGGGCAAGTTTAACCAGGTTGCCAGCCTGGAGGTTGCCATCCAGGCCTACGAGGACATGGTGAAGCAGGTGAGCTGCCCATTGGCTGGGGGGCGGGGGGGACAGCGAGGGCCAGGTGGACCCCCAGGAGGCTGGAAGTGCTATGGGGACCCCTGGGCGCAGCCACGAGGATGGGGAGTTACTAGGAAGAGACTCCCTGGTGGAGACGTTTGTCCCTGTCGTCGAGGTCTGGACATGAGCACCCCAGACCTCACGCAGTGACTGCTGTGTGTGTCGCCGATTTGTCTCTATTGGGGTCCCGTTTGCACAAGGCTTTGTGTTTCACAGAGCAGGCTTGGAGCCATGATCTCAGGCAGCTTTCGCCGAGAGGTGGGGGGGCAGGGTCTGGCACCCCTGAGAGGTGAGGAGTGGAGACCCAGAGAAGGGTCCTGGGGTGAGGGCTGCCGCGTGACTGTGGCCATCTCCTGCCCCCTCTGACAAGCTGCTGGGGAGCCTGGGAGCCTCTTGAACCATCGTGAACAGACGTGAGTGTGAAGGCTAGGGTCCAGGCTGTGAGCTCAGGCTGCCCTGGGCCGCGGTCACCTGCCGCCTAGGGCTAGTACAAGAATCGAGGCAGAAGATGCAGGGAAATGTACAGCGGGACCTGGCCCCGTGGAAGCACATTTGAATTCCCTCTTGGGAAAGGGTGCTGTCCTTGTCTTTGGCCACGGTGCCCGCGCCCTAGCCGAACCACAGGGCAGCCCGGGTCTGAGGCGTGTTTCACACTTCCTTCCGCCACAGGTCCAGCGCTCCCAGTCCGTGGTGGTAGTGGGAGGCGGCTCTGCCGGAGTGGAGATGGCGGCGGAGATCAAAACCGAATTCCCCGAGAAAGAGGTGGGCGTGCGGCCTTGCCTTTGGGCTCTGAGCCCAGCTTCTTTGCGTGTTGGCTGGGGGGGGTGGTGCTCCGTGAACTTGGGGCGGGAACACGTGTTTCCATGCTCTGCCGTTTGCACTGGGGGGTCCCCTACAGGCCCTTTTCTGGAGAACCAGGGTGTGTCTTTGTTCAGCGAGGGCTCCTGCCCTCTGGACCAACCAGGAGGAGTGAGGTGAGCTCCCGCGTCCCCTGCAGCGTTCCAGCCTCTTGAAATACAAACATAGACCTTGATTCCCTCTTTTTGCCGATGACTGGCCTGCACAGACTCCAGCGGCTGGTGTTCCGTGGGGGGCCAGCAGTGGCTGTTTGGTCTTCAAGAGACCGTAGGCTTTGCCCTGGGTGGCCGTGCGGGGGGCCTGGAGTGCAACCCCTTCACTGGCCGTGCTGGCGAAGGACTGGCCAGCAGCCCCCCTCCCCTGGGAAGGTGGCCTTGTTCCCTTTTAATGCTGCAGGGATGGAGAAGCTGCCTGGTGCCCTGGGGAGAAAGAGAGCATCCCAGCAGGATGCAGAGGCTCAGCTGAGGGCTGAGTGATGCTGGGTAATTATGAGACCTTGACGCAAGTGCTTGCATGCAGCTGATGCTAGACCAGCTTCTGAGAGCCACGTGGGCCCTGTGGCTCGTTCTTTTTCTCTGCGGAAGGGCAGGTTGGCTTTGAAAAGCAAGATCAATATGGACTGATTTAATTATATGGCTATTCTCTGACGAATTATCAGTAATTATTATGAGCAATTGATGTAAAAGTTTATTAATTTTAATTGATGGGGTAAAGACCAGTCTGAGGTAGTAAGTCAGTCAGTATGGCGTCTGTTTATAATTGGTAGAGAGATGCAAGCAATAGTAGCCACCCTATGTTAAGGAGTCAGTATGTGCTTTATATGTGTTTTCCCAATCTGTCATTACAAATATCCTATGAACGGGACCGGATCTTTGTTTGACGGGCTCTGCGGAAAGTGCAGACTGGATACTGGGATGAGGCTTTAACGGAGGCAGCCTGACTTTAAAGCCTGAGCTTTAGGGGCGCCTGTGGGGCTCAGTTGGTTAAGTGTCCGACTTTGGCCCAGGTCATGATCTCATGGTTTGTGGGTTCGGGCCCCACGTCGGGCTCTGTGCTGACAGCTCAGAGCCTGGAGCCTGCTTCGATTTCTGTGTCTCCCTCTCAGTCTGCCCCTCCCCTGCTCGTGCTCTGTCTCTCCCTCTCTCAAAAAACAAAACAAAACAAAAAACCAAAAAACAAAAAAACCAAAAAAACCCCAAGCTTTGAAGACCACTTGGGGCTGCACCCACTCTCTTGTGCTCTCACCCAGACAGGGAGTCGGCCTGCCTGCAAGTGCTGGTTTTAGAACCAGCTGTAATGTAAATGTCAGCCTGAGTTATAGTTAGAATGTCAATGGCTTATATATAGACTATAATTATAGGTGCCCAGGGTTGCTTGAAAATAATTTCCCACGTGGCCCCGGGGGCGGTGTGGGGTGTGGGGCACTGGTGCATCCTCAAAGAGACCAGATGTGGGCTCCGGCCTGGCTCGCCATGACCTGGTCCCGGCACTGGGCAGATTACTTCCCGGGGTCTCGGCGTCCTCACGTGTAAACAGGTGGTTGGTGAGGAGGTCAAAGAGACAGACTGATGGTGCTTTTAAGCCTCTTTGTGTGAACAGGAGACTCAGTGGCTCCTTCTCTACCCTGTGTTCATTTGTCCCAGGTCACTCTCATCCACTCCCAAGTGGCCCTGGCCGACAAGGAGCTTCTGCCCTGTGTCCGGCAGGAGGCGAAGGAGATCCTGCTGCAGAAAGGCGTGCAGCTGCTGCTGAGTATGTGTGCAAGTCCCCCCGCCGCCCCTGGCCTGGCCTGGCCTGGCCTGGTGAGATGTGCCCCAGCAGGAGGGCCCTCAGTGTCCCGGGGTTGAGCCTTGTCCAGCTGGAGGCTGTGTGTGTCCTCAGACAGGGCAGAGGCCCCGGGATGTACGGGAGTCCCCTGCCATGGGGACAGCAGTGTCCTGGCTGTTGCTTTGGACACAGTGCAGGTGGGACCAGTTTGCTGATTGATTTAAAAAATCACCTAAAGGATCTGACCTGAATTATGATGACTCTGCGGTAGAGAGAATGGCGGGGTTTTTTTTAAATTTGTATTCAGAAAGTGAGGAATGTAGCCTTTGATGAGAGCAGGAGGGGAGGGCACGCCCAGCTCATTCAGAGAGCGGGGCCCAACCCCGGCACTGTGACCGCTACATTCCTGGGCTTTGGCATCTGCGCTTTTCACAGGGCGGCGTGACATCCCTGCTCTCTGCAGACCCCTCATGGCTCCCAGGCTCCTTGTAACTGGCCATGCCGTTCCGTGACCGTCTTTGCTTTGAGGCAGTGCGGAGAGTAGGCTGGCTTCCGGATTTTTCTTGCTTCCCCCTCAGTGGTGCGCCCGGAGAGCCATCCTGCCAGGTTAGGATGGCATAGCTGACTCCCTGGGAGGTGTGGTGGAGGTCTCCCTCAAGCAGCTCTTCCCAGAACGTCTTGGGAAAGTCAATTTCACTTTCTCACACGGCTTCTGGGAACTTTCCTCCCTTTGGATCCTCCAGGGTGGCCGCAAGTCCCCATTGTGCCTCTTGTGGCAGCAGGGTGGCCTGGCAGAGGGACAGGGAGGAGGCCAGGAGCAGAGCAGTCGCTTAGCTGGGCCCCAAGGGCCCAGGCCTTCCCCGGCTTCTCCTTGGCTTGGGCCCCAGCCCCCTGCCGGCCTTCTGCCCACAGATCTCCCTTGACAGGTGAGCGGGTGAACAACCTGGAGCAGCTGCCTCTCAACGAGTATCGAGAGCGCATCCAAGTGCACACGGACAAGGGCACAGAGGTGGCCACTAACTTGGTGATTGTCTGCAATGGTATTAGGATCAACAGCTCTGCCTACCGCAGTGCGTTTGGTAAGCAGGGCCCTGTGCCCAACCCCCGGGCCGCCTCCTCGCCCTCCAGCCGCCACAGGCCCCACAGGCCCCACAGGCCTCTCCCCCGGGAATCAGGTCGCCATCCCTTCTCCCTCCATCCCAACAGCTCAAGTCTCTTCTGAATGATGACATCAGGCTTTAAGTTCGAGTCAGAATCCACTCTTGTGCCTTCCTCAGCTGTGGCCCTGACTTAGCCCAAGGAGGCCCAAGTGACCGATCTTTCAAAATTGGAGCCCACCCTCTTGTAGTGAGAGATGGGAGCAGGTTTCAGGGTGAAGGAAAGATCCATTGTTTCACTTTCTTGGAACAAGAAGGAGAGGAAATTCCTGGGTCAGGCCTTTTGCTATTCTCAGGTATGCAGTTTTCCCCAGACCCTGATCCAAACATTTGGCCACTGAGCTTGGAATGACCATTTGGGGGAGTAGAGGAAATAATGTGGCTTGAACTCTCCAGGTCACTGAAGGTGGGAAGGGGTGGGGTCATGGTCTCCGTGTGTGAGCTAGAGGCTGTCACTCTTCCTCAGGCCCCAGGATTGCTGTGTCCCAGGTCCCTATCATTTACTCCGTAGCACACTTCCTGGACAAGGAGCTCCTGTTTGGGCCCTACAGGAAGGAAATGGCCAATCACGGAAGAAGGAAGCTAAATCCAGGCCATGAGTAGGGGTAGGGTTGAGCCCTTATAATGCACAGAGATCCCAGAATTTCACACCCATTTGTCTTAATGTTATGTTTCCTTTTTTTTTTTTTTAATGTTTTATTTTACTTTTGTGGGGGGGAGGCAGACACACAGGAGGGACAGAGAGAGAGGGAGACAGAGGACCCGAAGCAGGATCTGTGCTGTCAGCACAGAGCCTGACGTGGGGCTCAAACTCACGCACCGTGAGATCATGACCTGAGCCGAAGTCGGACGCTTAATGACTGAGCCACCCAGACACTACTTATTTCCAAAGAAAATTCTTTTAAGTCCCCTTAAAAAGGAGAGTTTATCATTTCCTAGAGCCCTACATTTACTTTAAAAATCTCGTCCATGTTCAGAAGGAAATTCGAACCTTGGCTAAGTTGCAGGTTAATCACTCTAAGTCAATCAGTGTCAGTCACTGTAACTTAGAGAGTCCGACGCATTCTATGAAGTGGCATGTTCTGTCTTCCTGACCAGTTTCCGTCTTGGAATAGTCACCTTGCCTCTGCAGGGAGAGTTCTGAGGTGAGGAGGTGAGGCAGAGGTGAATTTGGCGGCCGTGTCCCGGAGGGTGGTGTAGCCAGCCCTGGAGGCCATCCCCACTGCTTTCCATGGCAGCTCAGGGGACTGGAGTCAGGGTTGGCTCTTCCCGGCAGAAAGTCACCTGGCCGGCAATGGTGCCCTGAGGGTGAACGAGTACCTCCAGGTGGAGGGCTGCAGCCATGTCTATGCCATCGGCGACTGCGCAGATGTGAAGGAGCCCAAGATGGCCTATCACGCCGGCCTCCATGCCAGCGTCGCCGTGGCCAACATCGTCAATGCCAGGAAACAGAGGCCCCTCAAGGCCTACAAGCCAGGTAAGGAAGCCGTGGGTGCTTCGCAGCGTTAAGAGAATTGGGTTAGACACAGCAGAGCCCTCGCGGGCTTTCAGATGAAGTGACCCTAGAACAAACTGAGCTGGTGACGGAAACCTCTTTCTGGAGCCCTTCAAAAATGAGTCGGGACTCACCCGCCTTCCTAAAGGTCAGATGCATTTATTTCCCTGTCCTCAGACCGCGGGCGTGGGAAGGTTTGTGCTCTGGCAAGGGCAGGCGCAGAGTGGTGAGCGGGGGCTAGCGTGTGTGCCTGGCTCTGCTCCGCAGGCGCACTGACGTTCCTGCTGGCCATGGGGAGGAACGACGGCGTGGGGCAGATCAGTGGCTTCTATGTGGGGCGGCTCATGGTTCGGCTGGCCAAGAGCCGGGACCTGTTCGTCTCCTCGAGCTGGAAGACCATGCGGCAGTCTCCACCCTGAGCGGGAGCCGGGCCACTGCCTGCCGAACAGATGGCTTTGACGAGAGGTAGCCGCCTGACAGATGCCAAAGAGCAAACGCTCATGTCCTAGAGTAAGATGCCTGTGATGTGCTAACCGGAAACCCAACTTACATAAAACAAAACTGGGAGAGAAAGAGAACTGGAGAGGGAGAGACAGAGGCATTAAAAAAAAAAAAAAAAAAAAAAAAAAAAAAAAAATCCCTAGAGGATTCTTTCTGGGTTTGGAGAGGTCTGCTTGCAGTCGTGCTGGTTCAGGAGTTCACCTGGGCCCGGGGAGGGCATGGCCAGCCTTCTCTACCCCAGGCTCCTCGTGTGTGTGTGCGCGCGCATGCGTGCATGGTGGCATTCAGGGCTCTCAGAGCAGGAGACAGTGGGCTCTCCTGGCGGCCGGCATCCTGTGTGTTAGGGCAGACAGGGGAGCCTGCACTGTGAGGCCGGCTAAGGGGCGGGATGCGGGGTCGAGATGGTCTGCACCCCGAGCCTCTTCCATCACGTCATGGGTGGGGGAGCCCGTGCAGTCTGCAACACCCCGGTTGTTAATAGGTGCCTAATATTAAACCCTTAGTCCCTGTAGTCGTTCATCTTTGTGAAACGCTACGTATTTCTATTCCTAGATCCTGATGATATACCATAGGTTACTTTTAAGAAGAAAGAGTTAGATAAACTCTTCTTAGAGTTAGATGTCCCTCCCAGTTAGCCTGTCCTAACAGAGAGTAAGTTTTTCCAAAGCTAACGGGTTAAGACTGAAGCCTGGGCCGCCAGCCGCTGGACGTGCCAAATAACGGGACCCTTGGGTGGGTGGCCATTGGGCTAACACTCAGGGAGCAGGGGGGGCTCAGCATGCTTCTAGGCTGCTGTCACGGTCAGCTTTGTAAGAGACAGGACTCTGGCTGATGCTGGGGGTGGGGACCCTGTGGGACCCTCTGGGGTTTTGTGATTCTGGTGTCCTGGACGACCCCAGTGACATTTGAGTGGAGGCCCAGCCGTGCGGCAGTGCCTGCCACCGACCGTGTTAAGGTATGTAAATGACTCCTGTGCCTGGGAGAGGACTTCCAGTTGGCGGGGAGTGAGCTTATTTTGGAAGACACGGGTTCAGTCTCCATAGTGGAAGTGGTTGGTGATCTCACTGGAGTAAACGCAGGCCCTGCTCACTTTGGAGGGTGCCCTCTGGGTACTTGGCCAGAGTGCCTGGGACACTGGCCTCCCTGGGGTTCTGAGTTCCCCCTGTGTGGGTGATGGCTCAGGTCGGTTCCGTTTGTTACCCAGGCCTAAGTGAGATGTGTGTCTCTCTCCCAAAGGAGGAACGCACTACCGTCCTCCGCCCAGGGCTCCGTGCCAGGGCGCCGCGGCCAAGCAGACTCCTCTTCTGGAAACAGGACCTGTAGCCTGAGAAACAGGCCACTCTGAGCTGTCTGACCGGGGTCTGGCAGGGTAGGGGTCTCGGCCCATTAGCGACAGGCCTTGTTCTGCTTATAACATTTTACAAGCGTCCACCCGTGGGGACGTGGTTTTCCAAGCTGAGGAAAATGTTCCAATAAAAGAATATGTTGTAAGAAAGACACTGGATCTTCTGTGGTTTTTTTTTTCCTTTCATTTTCTTTTTCTTTAAAAAAAACAAAAACAAAACAAAAGCCTGAAGCAAAATCTTTTTAGGAGTAGATACAGATAGTATTGGGTAGGGGCAGGGGCACTAAAACAGAAAATAAAAGCACCAGTGGGACGCCTTTCCCATCGTCTTCTCTCCATCACTGACCACAGACAGCCGACAAAGCCCCAGTCACTTCTATGCCCTCTTCCCTTGCAAAAAGGAGAAACAAGGCTTTAAGAATTTTGAAAGGATTTTTTTTGTGTGTGTGTAAAAGTCAATGCTATAAATCTAAAACGAAGTCTGTTTTTTTTTTTTCTTTTTAAAAAAGTTCTAAAACAAAGAGGAAGAAAACACATGGAAAGGAGCCCCTGGTGGAGACCTGGTTAATCACAGCTGGAGGCTCTTCTAACCGAGAATATAAAACGCAGAGGGCCCCTTCGGTGGCCGGACCTGCTCCCGCGGCCCGTGCCACCCGCTCGCTGCCAGCTGCCCTCCGCTCCCCTGCCGTCACCCCCTTCCTCTCTCCCTTTACGAAAGAAAACCCCGCTCCCATGCCTCCGCTCCTCCTCCGGCTCCCGTAGGCCGGCGCGGCTACTTGGCGTCGAGCTTGGCCATCTCCTGCACGTAGATGCCAATGCTCTCGCTGTCAAAGAGCAGGAAGTAGACATTCTTCAGCGAGGATGTGCTCGAGTCGTCAAAGTGGGCCGAGATGGCTTTGAGGGTCACCTGGGCTGCCGTCTGTTTGGGGAAGCAGTTTCTGTGCCAAAGGAAATGAAGGGCTGATGTTACGTGGGTGCCCAGGACCCGCGGGGTAACATGGCCCTCAGCCTGCGGTGGGGGAAACACGGCTCCTTCTTATCTTTGTTTCCGTCTCCCGGAGTCTCACTGTGGGCAGGCCGGGCCACTATGGTCTTTGACTCTAGTCACGGGCACAGCCCGGGAGCGGGACCAGTAGTCGACGCTGTCCCCACGTTACAGGAGCCATGCTGGCCCCGCCGGAGTCACGGTGCCTTGTGCTCGGATGCATTTGTGGCACCTGCCTCAAGGTGAGCTGGACTTTAAAGCCACCACCAACCCGGCATTTAAGCACAGCTAGGCTTTTATTAGCTCACTCAGAACTGCTTTAAGATGTGGGGCACCTGGGTCGCTCAGTCCATTAAGCACCCGATGTTGGCTCAGGTCATGATCTCACCGTTTGTGAATTCGAGCCCCACATTGGGCTTTGTGCCCACGGCTCAGAGCCTAGAGCCTGCTTTGGACTCTGTGTCTCCCTCTCCCTCTGCCCTTACTCGCTCTGTCTCTCTCTCAAAAATACAAAAACATTAAAAAAAAAAAAACTGCTTTGATATGTCAGATTGTTAAAGGGCAGGGATGTACACTCAAAAGTGTGTCTTCATAATTCTGTTTTTGTGCGCCTCGTGTGCCTCTCACTAACCTGTATGGACATGGCCACGGTAAGTTGAGGACTGGTGACCCTGGACAGGGGCCCGATCACCAAGCCGAGATGGAGCTGCCCACCAGGCCCAGGCCATGGGACCAGCCTCCAGGGACGCAGCTGCTGTGGTGGTTTAGGGTCAGCCACCAAGCCCCCTGGGGCGGGTGGGTGTGGGGTGGGCCTGTCTGATAGGGATGTAGTGTCCCGGCGCAGAAGCCATGTGGGCCGGGCCCTGTGGAGACTCCGGCCTGCAGCACCCCTGGGCCAGGCTGTGGAGGCCCAGTGCCGTTTCGGTTGAGGCGGATTACAGGGAGAAGCCAGGACTCGCGATTTCCCTCTTAGCCTGCCCGTAACTCAACGCTAACAGAACATCTTCAGCGTGTAAATCCTGCCCGTGGTACAGAGGGACACGTCTCGAGAGGGTGTTCAAAATTGAAGCAGCAGCTTGTGTTGGCCACGAGTGTGACACAAGGGACAGGCAGCCTACCAGTGAGGACAGGGCTCCTCATTATCTACCCGCTGTGCTCCCAGCTGGGGTCTGTGACCATTAGAACAATCACTTCTCCTAACTCTCGAAGCAGAGCTCTGGTGAGAGCCTGTCACTGCTCTGGGCGGGTCTGCAGGGCCTCAGCCTCCAGCCTCTGCTCCCCTCCACCCCGGCAGAGTCCCCCGGGGGTAGTTCTGAGGTGGTAGTTGTGGGCTGCGGTCTGAACTCCGTACTCTCACATCTGACACAGCGGAGTCCCTGTGGCTGGTGCACAGACTTGGAGTAGCAAGACCTTTGAGCCTGGTGTTTTCTTTCTTTCTTTTTTAAATTTTAAAACATTCATTTTTGATTGAGAGACAGCGTGAGAGCAGGGGAGGGGCAGAGAGTAGGAGACACAGACTGCGAAGCAGGCTCCAGGCTCTGAGCTGTCAGCCCAGAGCCCAAAGCGGGGCTCAGCTCATGAACTATGAGATCATGACCTGACCTGAAGTCAAGTGCTTAACTGAGCTGCACGGGTGCCCCGAGCCTGGTATTTTCTGACCGTGCATTCTGACGGGCAGCCGGTGGAGATGTGGGCATTGAACATGGCAAGCTCTCAGGAAAGCGCTGTCTCTTGCTCCCCTCTGAGGCTGCCTTTCTCTGGGTTTCAAAGGACGGAAATTGGGTTTCTCGCCCCATGCCCTGGCCTACGTGCTTGGCTGGGCCGGCAGCCCTAGGTCATGTCTTCTGGAATGGCTGGACTGGACTGAAGAAGTAGGGGAGGCCCCAGAGAGTGAGCTGAAAGAGTCCCAGCCTCCCCGCCCACCTGGAGGAGCACGTCTTACCTGCCGCTGGGAAACGGGGGGAACGCCACGGACTTCAGCTTCTTGTCCTCTGCCGCCGACAGGCAGTTTTTGATGGTCTCTTCAAGCTGTTCTTCACATTTGTCGGAGCCCCACTGAGGGATGTGACAGTGGATGACAAATTTGGCTGCAAGTCCGCTGGATTGGCTGACTGCGGCTGGGACAGGAGAGAGAAACACCATGGGTCATTTCCTACGTCTTCGCCTTCAGCCTGGGGGTTAGGCTGAACCTCACCCGCGCCTCTCAAATGGGTGCGGACGAGAAGCCAGAGAAGCTAGCTGGGCAACGTTCTGTGCTTCCTCTTCTTTTTTAAGATTTATTTATTTTGAGAGAGTGAGCACGAGCCAGGGAGGGGCAAAGAGAGAGAGAGAAAGAGAAAGAATCCCAAGCAGGCCCTGCACAGTCAGCGCAGAGCCTGACTTGGGGCTCGAACTCACCATGACATCATGACCTGAGCCAAAATCAAGAGTCAGATGCTTAACCGACGGAGCCACCCATGCGCCCCGTGTTCCTTGCTTCTGACGGGACTGTGTGTTTGCCCCGTTGGACTTGCCCTGCGCGGTCAGCACAGCTGCAAACATGTGCGTTAAAAGCTGACATGTGTGTTAAAAGCTGATGTGACTTATGGGGCGCCTGGGTGGCTTAGTCGGTTAAGCGTCCGACTTTCGCTTAGTTCATGATCTCGCGGTTCGTGGGTTCGAGCCCCGCGTCGGGCTCTGTGCTGACTGCCAGCTCAGAGCCTGGAACCTATTTCAGAGTCTCTGTCTCCCTCTCTCTCTGACCCTCCCCTGCTCACGCTGTCTCTCTCTCTCTCTCTCCTAGAAATAAATAAAATTTAAAAAAAAAAATTTAAAAAAAAAGCTGATGTGACTTGCACAGGCTCTGCCACCTTGGCACTCGGTCAGACCACCTTCTGACGATGGCTCCCGATCAAAGGTACACACCAGCATCGTCCCCGACAGCTGAGGAATGGCCTCCCCCAAACGTCCACATCCCGGGCCCTGGACGCTGTAAGTGTTACCTTACATGGCAAAAGGGACTCCACAGGTGTGATTGAGTGAAGGACCGTGAGAGGGCGAGGTTATCCTGGGTTAGCTGGGTGTGCCGTCAGTGCGACCCCCTGGGTCCTTCTCAGTTGGGGGCAGCCAAGGTAGGAGAAGGCAATGTGAACCGGGCAGAGTGTGGGGCGGCGGGCCCAGGAGCCCCGGAGCATGCAGCCCAGAAGCTGGGAGGGGCAAGGAGCGGCTTCTCTGCGAAGGAACGTGCTCTGCCAACGACTTCATCTTAGTTTCTGCACATCGATCTTGGACTTCTGACCTCTGCAGCTCATGGAGTCAATCTGTGTTGTTTGAAGCCACTAAGTTTGTGGTAACTGGTTACACGCAGTGATAGGAAATGAATACAACAGCTTTTGACTAATAGTTAGGCAGACTGCTGCACTACTCGGCTGCACACGTCCACGGTCAGGACTGTCTCTGGGTCACCTCTATATCCCTGAGGAACCTGCACTGGGGGCACGCTTCAAAACCAGTTGTGAGGCTGACTTGCACCAGCCTCGTCCCATTGCTTCAGTTCATGCTCCTTTTTACTCCCCCGATCCCATGCTAAGTGGTTCGGTCTGACCCACTGGCCGTTCTCCAGCCGCCTGGAGCAGTGGCGGCCACAGCCATGCGCAACGTCCCGAGCCACCCACCTTGCGGAGCTGGGGTTCTGTGCCCCTCGAAGAACCGGGTGTGTTTGTAACACAAATGGGTGTCTGCTGCATTCCGGAGCGGTAGGAGTGGTCAGAAAGATGTATTTGAAATACATGATGCCCACCTGATTTCTGAGAAGTGTTTCCTAGCAATAGCCACAGTGCTGGGCACTTATGGCTGCACATGCCGGGTGGGGCGGGTGGACGCCCTTTGCAGACCTTTGGGTTGGGGCTTCTGAGTGTGGAGTGAGTGAAGGAATTAGATGAATACAGGAGGCAGGGGGCGTGACTGGGCGGACTCTACGACCGTGTACATTTGCACACCAAGAGCAGAATGTCCCCGGGCCAGGAGTCCGGGGCTGTTCTCCAGAGAACCGGGGACGCTGGACATCGGTCCCACCGCTGGGGACAATTTCCCTGAGGCCTCTTCTGCTCTCGTATGCTGGCTCTTCACAAACTGGGTGGATTTCTTTTACATAAATTTAAAATATAATCATGGTACCAGCTGAACGGCATCTTTTTAATGTAAAGTCATTTACAATTTTAAAAAATATTTATTTACTTAAAAAATTTTTTAATGTTTATTTATTTTTGAGAGAGAGAGACGGCGGGTGAGCAGGGCCGAAGCAGGCTCCAGGCTCTGAGCTGTCAGCACAGAGCTCAGAGCCCGATGTGGGGCTTGAACTCCAGAATGGCGAGCTCATGACTTGGGCCAAAGTCGGATGCTTAACCGACTGAGCCACCCAGGCGCCCCTAGTGTAAAGTCACGTAAATAAGAGAAATATGCTCCTAAATGGCAGTATTATGTCAAACACTGAATCTGTTAAAATAACACCTTCCCCTCCCTTTTGAGGCCCTCGACTACACTAGATTTTGAAGGTAGCCTAAGACAAGGTGTTCCCGTGGCAACTGGAAACGGACAACACGGCTTGTAGCTGTAATAATAGAGAACGCTCCCTGGGTGTGCCCTGGACAAGGGCTAAGGTATCTTGGGGGTTGGGGGGTGCTGAGATTTGGTAGAGGCACCGATTAATGCTCTTCATCTGATGTGGGGTCACCTGGTGAGTCACCTTCACCGGTGAAGACCTGTGCTCTGGGGGTGGCAGTGTCGCTGCGAGGAGCCTCCAGAACCTTCCCTCGGGCAAGCCATCACATTCCGGAAGGCCCGGCACCTTCTCAGAGTCACCACAGCTGGAGGGGGCTCCGGGGTGGCCCCTCGTCCTGCTGGGAAGCTGCTACTGCTAATCCTTGGTCTGCACGACACCATGGTTTTCCTTCTGCCTCAGTTTCCTGCAACGGCCTCTCTTCTTCCTGTCTGTATGGGCCCAGGTCTCTTCTCGCTGCTGCAGGCGGCGCTCGGCGCCTCCTAGACAACCTCCACCTGCAAACCATTTTCCTCCTCGGCTCTCACCAACTGCTCACCAGTGACGTGCACCTCAGGCAGCCTCCTGGCGCCCCGGGTTCTGAAGCCCGATTTCCCTTTCTCCATCTGTCACTGGAAACGCCAGGCGGTTTCCTCTGACTTGTCCCATTCGAAGACCCTCGGCTTCATCTCTCCCGCTTCCCATTCAGCTTCCCAGCTGGAATCAGGATGCCTCTTCCAGTAGCTGCCAGCCGGACTTGAGGGGAGATTCCAGAGAGAAGCGGCATCTGCTTCTTTTCACCTGGGGACGCTACCAAACTGGTGTCATGTCCCACTAATGCCTTTGCCTGAGGTGTTTGGGCCGCACTGGCACTGGATTCGGCTGCAAATCCACAGGAGTATTTGAACCAACTTATGGTTCAAATTCTCTAGTGAGGCTTTTTCCCCCTAGGTCCACCCAACATCAAGGTCAAGATACACACTTGCTGCCCTTTCTGCATGGTGGGTTCAAGTCTTGCTTGCTCTTCAATGGAACATTCCCAGGTTTATGTGGGGTCTCCTATTAGATACACCATCTTGGATACTTATTCTTTTCTTTCTTTTTTTTTTTTAAGGTTTATTTATTTGAGAGAGAGAGAGAGAGAGAGAGAGAGAGAGAGAGAGTGAGCAGGGGAGGGGCAGAGAGAGAGGGAGACACGGCATCTAAAGCCAGTCCCAGGCTCTGAGCTGTCAGCACAGAGCCCAACATGGGGCTTAAACTCATGAACCGCGAGATCGTGACCTGAGCTGAAGTCGGACGCTCAACTGGCTGAGCCACCCAGGCGCCCCTTGGATATTTATTCTTTCTTAATGGTGTATACAATTAGGGCATGTCTCACAAGTGATGGCATTTTTAAACTAAATGTAACACTGATGTTAAAACCTGATGTACTGTCCCCTATTCCAGATCCATCCTCACCAATCCCTTCATCCAACAGAGCAACTGCGGATGGGCCTCGGGCCCCGGGTGCTGGTGCCTAACATATCTGCCCCACTTTCTCAGCTCAGGATTGTTTCTGCAGCCCTTCTTCCCTCTGGATTCATTTCCCTCCTGCAGTCCTTCCGGCAAAAGGGCCTGTGATTTCTGACGCCCAGCCCGTGTGTGTCTGAAATGGTGTCTTTCGCGGCTCCCCCTAAACAATAACAGAGCGGCGAGTGGAATCTGTGGTTGACACTATTTCCCTTTGGGTCTGTGAAGCGGTTTCTTTCTCGTTTCCAAGCATCCTCTGCTGCTGAGGAGAATCTGTGGTCAGGAGAACTTGGCTTGCTTTGCAGGTTTCTCTTGATTTTTGAACTTCTTTATTATTATTATTTTAATTTATTTTGAGAAAGAGAGAGAGAGAGAGAGAGAGCACGTGCATACAAGCAAGGGAGGGGCAGAGACAGAGGGAAAGAGAGAATCTCAAGCAGGCTCCATGCTCGGCCCGGAGCCTGACGCGGGGCTCCATCTCAGGACCCTGGGATCCTGACCTGAGCCAAAACCAAGGGTTGGGCACTCAACGGACTGAGCCACCGAGGTGCCCCTCAGGCATGTCTTACTCTATTTTATTTTTATTTAATGTCTTTTAATTTATTTTTGAGAGAGAGCACATGAGAAATGGGGGAGAGGCAGAGAGAGAGGGGGACAGAAGATCTGAAGTGGGCTCCCTTCTGACAGCAGCGAGCCCGATGCAGGGCTCAAACTCATGAACTGCGAGCTCGTGACCTGAGCTAAAGTTGGACGCTCAACTGACTGAGCCACCCAGGTGCCCCAGCTGTGATTGTTTAAAATACTGCCTCTCTATCTTCGATTTCTGCCTCTGGAGCTCTGTTTCTAAGTGCACTGGGGCCCCCATTCTGTGCACAGCAGCTAGCTTTCTCTCCTTCCCAGCCGGGCAGCACTTTGCTGGAGGCCTTCCCCTACTTGTGCATCCTGGGGCCCAGCGGCCCGCGGCCTCGCCCTTCCCTGCCGCCGCTGCCTGCGCCCTTCTGTCCCTGCCCGCACCAATGTTTGTCTCATGTCTCCGTGTGGCTCCATCTCACGATATTAAGTGTGGAATTCTATCATCGCTGTATGTATGGGCAGTGGTAGGTGCCATTATAAAGTGCGGACTTATGTTTTCTCTGGACTGGAAGCCCCAGGGCCCAGCTTAAACTCTCTAGTGCTGGCTCCTGAGCCAGGCCTTCTCACACATGATGCCCTTACTGTCCCTGCCCCCAGGGGTTCTCACATCGTCCCCGGAGCCTCCCCAGCTCCCCTGGCAGAGGGCAGGCTCCCTCCCTGTGCCCCACTTATGTTCTCGGTCTCTCCACCCAGACCGCCCAGTGCTTGAGGGCAGGAGTGCGTCTCATTGTATTTGCAGCCCCGGCATCAGGGCGGCACTTGGCACCGACTACGTGGTCTCTGGAGGTGGTGGGTGCGTGTGGGGGCTGGACACGGATCCGAAGTTGGAGCCACCTGTCAAAAAGTTACCAACGTCCCCGAAAAACGTGGGCAGAGACGTTCACAGAAGCTCTCTTTGCAAGAGCCAAAGGTAGAAACAACCCAACTGATGAAATGGGCCAACACCCAATAATGGAATATTATTCAGCCCTAAAAAGGAACGAAGCACCGATGCATCCTGCAATGTGGATGAACCTTGAAAAGATTATATGAAGTCCAAGAAGCCAGACACCGAAGGTCATATGGCCCATTATTCTGTTGACGTCAAATGTCCAGAACAGGCAATTCCAAGGCGGACTGGGGGTGGCCAGCGGCCGGTGGAGGGGGAAGGGAGTCGCCTGTCACCACTGGAGGTGACAAAAGAATCGTGGACTTGGAGAGTGGTGCTGGTAGGGCAGCGTGAGCAGTGTAAGTTACCCAACAGCTTCATCTGAGGGTGATCTGATGCAAACGGCCTTGAACTCTCCAGACACACCGTAGCCCCCAGGGTGCATGAAATGATGTACCTGGGCCGGTGCGAGTCATCTGAGAGATGCTAACTCTCAAAACTCGCCTATTTTGCTCGGCACACTGATTCTGTACAAAGCATGTGATGCTGGTGGCGCTGTGCAGGGCACACGGGTCCCCCACCGTGCTTACCTTCAGCGACTTCCAAAGGGCCTTGGGATTTGCGGAGCTCCTTTACAGTTTCCAAGAACTCTTTCCCGCCAGCCTTTTCCAAGGCCTTACCTGCAGAGAACAAGGGAAGCCATGGCTGTCGTCCTTGACAAAGTCGTCAGTCACACGGTTCCACGTAGTTTCAGTAGGGCCAGAAAACACATAACCAACCACCCGGGGAAAGTAGGAATCCCACTTTGCAGTCGAAAACTTGGTTGCCAGTGGTCGCTGGTGGTGGGGGTCTCTGGGCTTCTGTCCAGCAAGACTTAGATTTGAGAAAACTCTTTTATTTATTAAAAAAAAAAAAAATTTAACGTCTATTTTTGAGAGAGAGAGAGAGAGACAGAGCATGAGCAGGGGAGGGTCAGAGAGAGAGGGAGACACAGAATCCGAAGACAAGCTCCAGGCTCTGAGCTGGTTGTCAGCACAGAGCCTGATACGGGGCTCAAACCCATGAACAGTGAGATCATGACCTGAGCTGAAGTCGGATGCTTAACTGACTGAGCCACCCAGGTGCCCCTCTAGCAAACTCTTTTAAAGGGCCTTTTTAGAGAGTGATTTGGCCATAAGCAGTCTCACAACATGAATCCTAAAGGTGACTTTTAGGAATCTAAGTACAGTTGACACGCGATGTTATGTGAGTTTCAGGTGTGCAGCAGAGTGAAAGGACAAATCTAAGCCTTGGGCTGTGCTCCCCCCAGGGTAGCTGCCGTCTGTCACCGCACAGCGGGGTCACAATACCATTGCTTATGTTCCCTATGCTGTACTAAGGATGAACTTTTTAATTAATTAATTTAGAGAGATAGAGCGAGCAGGGGAGGGGCAGAGAAAGAGGGAGAGAGACAGAATCCTAAGCAGGCCCCCAGCTGCCAGCACAGAGCCCCAGGTAGGTCTCAACCTCACGAACCGTGAGATCATGACCTGAGTCGAAAGCCAGAGTCAGACTTAGCTTAACCTACTGAACCACCGAGGTGCCCCTAAAGGTGAACTTTTAAAAAAATTGGGGCTCCAGTGTTGTGGTCTCTGGGTTCAGGACTGCACACTGTGTTGGTTAAATTCAGTGCCTTGGTGATTGGAAGGCAGCGCCCCACGATGGGTGGTAGCCCAATGAGCATGTACCCTGCCTCCTGTCACCAGGCCCTAAGATGACAGGAATCGCTGGGTGGAGAGTCCTGGGGTCCCAGTCCCATCTCTCCACCACCCGTGTGCAGGAGTCTTGAGGGCGAAGGCCACACATGGCCTAGGGCGGCCTGCAGTGGTGGTCCTCCAGCCCGGGCCTGGGTTTTCGATGGGAAGATGCAACTCTGAGAGGCACCCCCCTAAGGACCTTTCTGACGGGAGAGCCCTTGGGTCTCTGGTGTTAGGACAATTCTCTGCTCAGTATTTCAGGTCTGTGCTTCCCCAGAGGCCAAGTGGACCCCCCAGGGGATGGCAGGACTCCGCCTCTGGCCATCGGTTGTGTACCGGGGCTCCTCACACCTCTGAGATGACAAATGGGTGTCTTATCCACACTAGGCAGCTGCTGCTCTCCGGTGGGGATGAGGCCCTACCCCCACGCGTTTTTGTCTTCTAATGAACTTGGTGATCGCGCTGTCTGGGGCAAGTCTCAGCTCTCTCTCTTCATAGTTACGATGGTGGTTATCATTCAGGGGCCTCCCCCTTCCCCACCCGCACGCTCGGGCATATTTGGAGAGCCGCAGGATGTTGTGAGCAAAGATGCCCGTTCCAGCAGTCAGTTTCCACTGGGGCTCGGCAGGGGCGGGGATTTCTTCACGAAGGTGCTGGGGGTTCAGTGATGCAGTTTGGAAGTGGTCATCTAGGGCCTTCAGAGTCTCCTTTCTGGTCCTCAGACTGCCAGCCGGTGCTGATCTGCTGGGTCACAGAAGCCTGGAGAAGGCCAGGACCCGCAGCCAGCAGCCCCATATGTGCCGAGATGCATTAGAAACAGGTGTAACCTGCACTCTGCCCTCGGCCAGGAGCCAGATGGGAGCGTGCAGAAGTCTTCCCCCAGACTTCCAAGCATAAAGCGACCTGAAATGTTGATGGGGGCACTTCCTCTCTATGGAAGCATTCCAGCGAAGAAAAGAAGGAATGCCAGAATTAGGATACGGCCCCCACCCCACACAACCCCTGAGGATGGACAGACCTGGCGAAGGAGCATTGGTGGGCATTCCCTGGCTCCTGATGGGAGAACGTCCCATCACCGGGCAAACAGTCTTACCCCCATTGTTCGAGCCTGAATCTCATTAGGACTCTAGATCAGACTACCAATTTATAAGAAAAGAGAAGAAGCATGTTTAATGGCATCAGGAACATGTAATCAATATAATCCAGATGGGAAACCCTACAGGACAAATGGCCCAGCTTCTTCCAAAAATAAGTCGAAAAACAGAGAGAGAGAGAGAAAGGAGGGAAAGATATGAAAGGGGAACGCAGGGGTTATAAGAGATTCATCAGCCAATTGTGATGTGCGGACTTATTTGAATCCTGAATCAAACACATTAAAAAACAAATTGGGGGCACCTGGGTGGCTCAGTCAGTTAAGCGTCCAACTTCGGCTCAGGTCATGATTTCTTGGTCCGTGAGTTTGAGCCCCACCTTGGGCTCTGTGCTGACAGCATAGAGCCTGGAGCCTGCTTTGGATTCTGTGTCTCTCTCTCTCTCTCTCTCTCTCTCTCTCTCTCTCTCTCTCTCTCTGTCCTGCCTGCCCCCCATACTCTGTCTTTCTCAAAAACAAATAAACATTAAAAAAAAACCCAAACTGGTATTTGTGACACAACCGAAATGTGAACAGTTACTGGTATTTGACGACATTACTTTTTCTAGCTGTGATAATGGTCCTGTGGTTATGCTGTCGGAACGCTGGCCCTGATCATTCTGAAGTGCCCACAGACACGGTGCCGTCTGGGGGGTGCGAGGGGTAGCACGGAAGCAGTTGTGTATGCTCGAACTTTTCTGGAATGACACACAATGCTTTTAAAAGACTAAATCAGGGCCTTATCTGCAGGGGGTGATTGGTTTGGGTGATGGTCGTGGAAAATGGAATTATGATAGGAGGGGCCCCTTCTAAACAGCACAGCAACGATTAAAAAAAAAAAAAGACCATCATTTATCGAATGTTTTTGAGCCCCAAACTGTGCTAAGCCTCATCCGTGTTGTCTTATTTAATCTTCATACTACCCCTACGGGTGCTATTGTTATCCTCACTGAGAAGGAAACTGAGCTTCAGAGAGCTTAAGGAACCTGCCTGAAGTCACACAGCTAGGAGGTGATGGGTAAAATCTAGGACACAGATCTATCCTTACCCCAGAAGCCTCATTGCTGGGATCTGAGTTTTTGCCCCAGTACTAGTGTTCTTTCTACCCTCTCACCATCCTGCCATTAAAAAAAAAAAAAACCTTGATTGCTTTCCTGATATTAGAAATACAAACTCTAGAAAGGATGAAATAGCATTTGAAACAGATTAAGAGTAAGGCTACTGGGGAGAATCTCTGCATGGGGCGGTGGTGGGGGGAGTTCAGGGCAGTTGACAGGGCCTGGGCTGGGTCTGGAGAATGAAGAAGGAATTTTTACCATTTCGATACGCGAGAGAAGTTCTGTTTCTCTGCAGTGTGGTTCACGCTGTCCCCCAGCCCTGAGGCTCTCCTGTCTCAGCAAAGCAAGTGGCCTCTGATGCCCCTGGGGGGACCTAAGTGAGCCCAGCAGCCTCACCCTCCTGCACAAGGCTGAGAAGCAAGCCCTGAATCCCAGGGACAAAGCCCTCTCTTTGGCCACTTCCTTTACTTTTTCAATGGAGGGTTTAAGGCACTTCTGTCTTGTAAAAATGGAGAAGGTGGTGACCATTTAGATTGCCATTATTTCCAGTGCCCTTGAGAGCTGAGCCCCCCATGTTCCTCCGGCTCCCCGGGGACAGCTCCCTCCACCCCCCACGGGACAGGCTGTAAAACAACTCAACCTGCAGCCTCACAGACAACTTTCTCCAGATGTCCATTTCCTTCTCACCAAAGGCGTTCTTCATTTTTAGGCTTAAAATAAATGTGGAGGTTTGCCCAAAACATGTGCGACAATGTTTAGAACAGCACTACTCATTATTGCCCACACTAGAAACTACGCAAATGCTCTTGATGGGAGCAGGTCACCACGTTCCCGTATTTTCTGACAGTGGAAGAGCACACGGCAAAGAACATGAATGAACTACAACCACGCCCAACAGTTGGGGTGGGTTTCACAGATACAAAGTTGAGCCAAAGACACCCCGCATGGCGTCATTTACATGAAGTCCAGAACGGACGGCAGCCGTGTGTGCTGGGAGAATACAGGATGGTGGTTACCCAGGGAAGGAATGGTTCATGGGACGGGAGAGGGAGGGGAATTCCGGGGTGCCCGTAGGGTTCTGCTTCACGATCAAGGTGTCGGTTACAGAGCTGTACTCACTTGGAGGAAAATCCATCAAGTCGTGCACTAATGATCTGTTTTTACACAATACTTCAGTGAACATTTCAAAAATATATGCAGATTAAAACCAAATTAGTTATTTACTAGTGCTGCTGTTCAATTACATACAAGGACCGAGTTGGACGTGGTGCCCCAAGCAGAGGCTGGCCGCTCGACAACGACCAACTTCACAAGAACTTGCCCCAACAGTGGGCCATCCTTCGGCCCCTCCACCACATTCTCAGGACCTTACCTATGTCTTCCTTGAGGTCGATTTCGGCTGTGGTTGGGTGCACAATGCCCTCCACTCTCATGGAGCCAATATGGCTGATGTCACTCTGGGTCAGGGACAGCTGCGTCGGGAAGGAAAGACGGAGAGTGTAGGAGAGGTCAAATCCTATGAAAAGCCTTCACATTCTACCTCCCATCTGTTAATCCTCTCAGTTATTTACACTGAATGGCAACCTAAAGGGCCGTGGCATGGAGCAACCATGTCAGGGTGTTTGCTCTTCAGGAAGCCCTTCTGAGCCCCAGTGGATCTGATGTCACACTGACACGAGCAGCACGCACCAAATATGCCTCCTCTTCCAGGAGCAGGAATGGGCCCTCCCTTCTTCTTCCTTTCCCTATAGCTTATGCCTCCGTTTCCCAATCCAGATGGCCTTGGTGTCGAGTGACAGTTCTGAGCAGTTCCCACCAGGGAAGCCCAGGTTGGCTCTCCCCAGCTCCCCTCAGGACCCTGCATTCTTCCCAGAGCAGGGGACAGGGACGTGCGGCCAATGACCCCGATGTCCTCTGGGGACAGGGATGTGTGGCCGATGACCCCGATGTCCTCTGGGGACAGGGATGTGTGGCTGATGACCCCGATGTCCGCTCTGGAGACAAGGACATGTGGCCGATGACCCCGATGTCCGCTCTGGGGACAGGGACGTGTGGCCGATGACCCCGATGTCCGCTCTGGGGACAGGGACGTGTGGCCCATGATCCCGATGTCCTCTGGGGACAGGGATGTGTGGCCGATGACCCTGATGTCCACTCTGGGGACAGGGACCTGTGGCCGATGACCCCGATGTCCTCTGGGGACAGGGATGTGTGGCCGATGACCTGGCTCGAGAGAAGTGGTGGGCTCTAGGATTCCGACCTGCCGATGTCTGGCCACCTTGCCCTTTGGGGAACACATTCTTGGGGCTACGCTTGTGACAGACTGCCCTACGTGCTCATAGCTGAGTGGAATGCAGAACATTTTCCCTCATTTCCCCATGTGAGCATGACAATTCCGTTCCCCCAGATAAGCAAGAGAGAGCCAATCATCATGCGACTGCGGCTAGCCCCTGGCGGGGACCTCAATTCCACATCTTTACTTCCCTGCTTTCGTCAGTGAAGAATTAGGAACCCAGCACATATACACTCTTCTGTAACATGCTCTTCCCACTTGCTCTATAGAAGCGCATCCTATGATCAGGCTGCGAACAGTCAGCCCCCAGAGATGTGATTAGCTGACTGTTGCCTTGTGTATCTTATTTCAGCCCCATTTGACTTGCTAGATAAATCGGCTGTTCTGTAAACTTTATGCTAGTGGGAATGAATTATTTGCATGTCTATCTGGGCTGCTGCTGTTGCTGAAGACTGTTGAGATGTAGAGCCCGCTCGTTCTTTCTGCAGTCTAGAAAAGCCAGCAGACTGAATTATTGGCGAATGATTCATTTCTAATGCCAGGGATGTTCAGGAAATGCAGATCTCTGTTTTCTTTCCCTGGTAAATTACACCGAACCACGTAAGGCTGGCCTCCGAGAGCCGTTTGAGAAAGTCAGCTAAGGATGTCTGGGGCAGGCACAGAAATGAGTGGGGCTCTGGGGGGTTCCCGGCCACGATGCCATTCTATGGCCCGATTGGGAAGATTGTCTACACTTACCTTTGGCTGACCAGCACCGGCATGAATAATTCTCGGCACTAAAGGGCCTGTTTGCTCTCACAATGTAGCACTGCCACAGCTCTTTAGTTTAAACGTGAATAATTCAAGACCAGAGTGAAAGTCGTGTTAGGGGAGCAAGGGATGGAGGAAGCATCATTGCCTGTAAACAGTAGGTTATAAAAATGCAATAGTGTTTTACTGCAGCACATGACAATTCTCTTTATTACCTTCTGCCCTAGAACAAGGCTCTTAGATGACAGAATGGTGAATCCATCCCCTGGCCCATCTTCAGAGGTGGAATTTGAAGTTCCTTCTTTGTCGCTGTCCTTTGGTTTGGACTGTTGGTAGAAATCAGAAGGACAAGTGGGAAATAATTCAGGAAAAGCCCAGAGTGGCTTCATCAAGTTCTCCCTACGGCCACCACCCCTTGTATATGAAAGGAAGTGGCGGGTGTTACATTCTGCTGCTCTCGAGGGTGGGAAGTGAGGGACAGCAACAGAGGGAAAGAGAAGGGTGCGGCCCAAAGTCAAGTGTGTTCAAGAGGTCCACATGCACGTGCAGTTCTCACTGAGACCGGGAACCAGTACATTATCGTTCTTTGCAATGCCTGGATGTTACAACAGCAAGCATCAGAACCAAGCCGGGCCATTCACAGCCCACTGTTCAACCTCCCTTCTCCCCAGGACTTCCTTGAGGCCCAGAGGCAGTGGACTAAACTCTTAGAAATCTTTTGTGTCGTCGCGGAGGTCTGTGGAATGGACATTTGACAATCCCCGAAGCAGTGCTGTCCAATAGAACTTTCTATGAGCACGGACATGTCCTCTGCCTACTGAGCACTTGAAATGTGGGTGGTGCAACCAATGAACTGAATTTTTTTAAAGTTTATTTATTCTGAGAGAGAGAGAGAGAAAGAGAGAGATAGTGAGCCCATGAGAGTGGGACAGGGGCAGAGAGAGAGAGAGAGAGAGAAAATGTCCCAAGCAGGCTCTACACTGTTAGTGCAGAGTCCAAGGCGGGGCTTGAACTCACAAACCACAAGATCATGACCTGAGCTGAAGTCGGATGCTTAAGTCGGCTCAGCCACCCGGGTACCCCCAAGGAACTGAATTTTTAATCTGATTTAGTTTACTGATTTAATTACTTCAAATGCAAAGAGCCACATGTGGCTAGTGGGTATCGTGGTGGGCAGCAGATCAAAGTGTTACTCCACAAATGGCATCTCCGAGCTACAGCTACTTAGGGCATCAGGCTGTCCCGAACCCCTGAAATCCCACTGGCTGAACCCAGCTGGCTATGTGTGGGAGACAGACAGATAGACACTTTTGTATGCAGTGTGGAGCTCTGAAAAGAAATGAAAAGCAGAGTTCCAGGCTTTCCTCTCTCACTTAAGATTTTGATGGGGGCGGTAGAAGGATCTGGAAACATGAAGATCACCCCTGCTTTGGGTTTGGAAACGTCTAGCAGCCCCTGCTTGGTGATTTAAGCTCGAGTCTCAGAGGCCCTTTGTCATTTTCTCCCAGTGGGCAAAGTCCCCAGCCTGTCAGCAATGACGAGGACTCATTTGATCATCCGACTTTCTCCTGCTTGCTGAGCACCCCCGGCTTACCTTTTTGGATGTCCGTGGTTTGGCAGCCTTGGATTTCTTGCCTCCCTTCTTGCCTGACGCCGCCTTCCTTCCTCTTTTCTCTGGGGGTGGGGAGAGGATAGTTTCCGACTTGCCTTTGGTCCCTCGCTTTTTGGCCAGCAGTTCAGGATGAATTCTGGGCAGGACACCTCCACTGGCGATGGTCACTCCTTTTAGCAGCTGAAGAGAGAAACGCATGAGCTCAGCCAGCAAAGAGCTTGCTGGTTTCGGATTTAATACAGTTCTAGCCGGTGGCCAAAAAAGTGTTAAATCTGGTCTCTGCTTTCCCAAAGCACGATGGGTGGTTTAATTGGCTTTCCTGTTTCACTGGTAGAGCGATTCTCTGGAGGTATCAAGGCATCCTCTGATCTCATACAGAAAGCAAAACAAAGAAGGCAAAATGAAGGGGCATGGAGGCTGCAACCAGGGACGGGTGCTCAGGGCTGTGGAATTCCAGACATAACAGAGGAAAGGAGGGGGGGATGGAGGGAGCACAGCTTGACAAAACTGGGTTCAAAGGTCGATGCTAGGTCTAGACCCAGTTAACATCAGACCAGTGGTCTCCACGCTCTTTTGATCGTGCATTCCATCAGTAAAATATGTTTGACCATGCACCTCTCAATTAATACGCTTACTTTCTAAATAATTGACATGCACTACTCCATGAATACAGTCTGCACAGCCCGAGGTAGTGCGGGTCTGCAAGGTCTGTACCCAGGGCTGGTCCACGGACAGTTACAGTTACTGCCGGGGTCAAGAGAAATACAGAAATTGCAAGGAAGAGTCCGGAAACTTTTACAGCAAGTTGACAGAGCTACTGTATATCTTTTGGACCTAGTACCAAAAAATTGTGGCTTGTGCTTTGTATGTTGTTTTTTAAAACTGTTCTGGCAATTATTTTTTATTGTATTTTTGGCAATTATCAATCCACGATGGATTGGAGATAAGAACTGATTCTTCACGTCACACACAATTTGAGAAAAAGGAGATTAGAATACAAATTCTTATACTATCTACTGACTGTCTAGTATTTCCTGGGAGAGGCATTCGTAGCACTTTGGAGTTATTTCCATAATATAGAGAAGATTCTTCCTCCCTCATCAGAATGAATTGTCAACAAAATTTGGGTGAAGAAATCACGAATAACACATGTGCACCGCACCTTCCCAGCCACATGGACAGCCTGCTCTTAGAGACGACAGGGAGGTCTGGAAAGACTCAGAATATAAAATGGGTCTATTCCAGAGGCAATTTTATTTTCTATCTGAATATATAGCTAGCAGGATTTGTTCTTCTCTTACATGATCTGGAGAATTTGTCATATTAATGTGACGGGAACTGGAGCAGGAATGATTTACAACCAATGGGGTCTGCGCGGAACAGTGTGGCTGGCAAACCCATTCTGTGGCTGGTGTCCATGCTTCAGACACAGACCTACCTGGTTGAGCTCCTCATCATTGGCAACCGCCAGCAGGATATGTCTTGGGGCTATCCGGGCCTTCTTGTTGTCCCTTGCAGCATTCCCAGCCAATTCTAGAATTTCCGCTGAAATCACAAGAGGGAGTTAATAGGCAATCTACAGAATGGGGTCGGAGCTTTTCTTTGGAAGTGGTCTTCAAATTGGGTCACACTTATTCATCTGTGACTTCCGTCTGGGCCTGGAAAGAAATCCAGAATGCGGGAAAGAACTCAGGTTACAGACAAGCTCGACATTTGAGCGAGACCTGATAGGTGATCCTGTGGCAGTCTTCGACTTGCCCTTGAGATTAATTCTGCCCCATCTTCATTAGTGTTTGGACTTCTGATTTTTTGTTGAGCCCATAAGCACAGGAAGGAAGACAGGATTTCCCAACCTCCCTTGTTGAGAGCTGTGATCATGTGACCAAATTCTGGCCAATGAAAGGCAAGTAGTCATACTGTATGGTGCTTCCCGAAGTGTCCATCAATGAAGGGCATGTGGCCTTCTTCCCTTTCTGCTGGCAGACTGGGGACGTGATGGCTGAATTTGGCCAAGAGGAAGAGCAACAAGACAGAAGGAACTGGACTCTCTTATGAAGGTGGAGACTGCTGACTGGACGGTCCTTACTCCTGGATGGTCGTCTATAGGCTTCTTTTGTATGAGGAGAGAGATAAACTCTCTTGTTTAAGCCACAGGAGTTAATTTTTGTTAAGCAGGAGTTAACCAAATACAGAGTCCTAACATAGGACCTGAGTTTCTTTCAGCCTAAGGAGAGAGAGCCATAGTGAGGTTGGTTAAAGTCTGTCTTTGGTGCCCATTGGGACCCTTTTTAGAATCTCCCTTTCCTCTTCTCTTGGTGCCATAGGTCCCTCCTGTCCTAAAGGAAAGTGGATGGGAAGAACTAACTTGTACTGCGGAGTGAGGAAATGCTTAACCCAGAAAGTGAATTCTGAATGGGGACACCTACGAGGCCTGGGAAGGAAGGTTTCTGGGGCTTGGGGGGGTTTCCCCATATCCCTCAGGATCTAAGCATGACTCTGACTTTAACAAACATGTCATCTGACAAATGTAAAAGAGTTGAGGGGCGCCTGGGTGGTTCAGTCGGTAAGGGTCCGACTTTAGCTCAGGTCATGATCTCGCTGTTCGTGAGTTCGAGCCCTGTGTCAGGCTCTGTGCCGACAGCTAGGAGCCTGGAGCCTGCTTCGGATTCTGTGTCTCCCTCTCTCTCTGCCCCTCTTCTGTTCGTGCTCTGTCTCTCCCTCTCTCTCAAAGATAAAATAAAACATTAAAAAATAAAAAAAAATAAAAGACTTGATAAAGAACTATTTTACATCATCAAAATTTGTATGTATGTATGTATTTATTTATAGTGTTTATTTTTGAGAGAGTGCAAGCAGGGAAGGGGCAGAGAGAGGGGGACAGAGGATCTGAAGCAGGCTCCGGGCTCTGAACTGACGGCAGAGAGCCTGATGTGGGGCTCGAACCACAGGATCATGAGCGAAGCCGAGCCGAAGTCGGACGCTCAACCGACCGAGCCACCCAGGTGCCTCTGTTACCACAATTTTTAGTCAAAATTAAACATCTGAAGAATTGGCTCCACACCATCTGTTTGCTTTCGCCTTCCTCCTCTGTCTCCCTTTTCTTTCTTCCTCAATGTCAGAGGGATGTCCTGCTAATCAAATTTGTCTGCCTTCAAATGTATTAACGAGCCCTTAAAGAAAAATTCCTTCCCTTAGAAAACTAGAGGCAATGTGCCAACGTGTTGTCTCACTGGTAATGTGGTGGCGAAGTGTGTGCGTGCACGCGCGGGTGCATGTGTTGGGAGAATTTGCTGGTACAATGGCGTAGATACTGAGCCCTAAAATTAACAGGTGATTCTGTGAGTCTTTACAATCAACCTAATTTCAAATAAATAGCACATACAATTGCCATCACTCATAAAAATCTATGGTGATAAAAAAGCTGCCTAAGTATGCCATATTAACTAAGCAAATGTGATTAACAAAAAATTAGAATAAAATAAGCATCACAGTTAAATATTTATATGGAATTTCCATAATGAAAAGTGCTAAATCACTGCGAATTCATTCTCACAACATCTTTTCCAGATTATTATGCAATGAATAGTGTGTTTACCAACAATCCATTTATACGGCAGCCGTGTTTTCTGAATCAGAGACTGGGGGGCTGTAGTTTGAGAAGCATGAGCACACTTGCTGGGACAACGGGGTAGAGTATTTGAAATTCATGCCCTATTAGATCATCCGGTTGGCTGCACTCAAGCTGCTGCCCAGCCCTTTCCTTCCCTTAAAAGAAAGGTACACAACACAAAGAAATGTAGTTATAAAGCTTTCACAAATAGGCTTCGTGTTTTCACTCTAGGGTTAAATGTGCAGCGCCCCCTTGTGAACAATAAAAGGGAGGTAACTGCACCTGCTCAGCTTGGGACCCCACACCTGGGAGGAAGGAGCACTCACCACACCTGGGAGGAAGGAGCACTAACTGCATCTGGGAGGAAGGAGCACTCATCACATCTGGGAGCAAGGAGCCCTCACTGCACCTGGGAGGAAGGAGCACTCACCCCTTTTTGTCAATGGGGTGAAGGGTCAAGGGGCCTCCCGATTTGAAGCTTCTGAGGAATTGAATTTAATTTAGCATCTTGGACTATCACTTTCCTGCCTGTGTCACCTGCCCTTAGAGGAAGATGTTAACCATCTGGCCGAGTTCCTCAAATTAGTTGTCAGCATGAGAAGGCTGAATGGGAAGCCCTACAGATTTGGAACCTTCAGGAAGCCTATGAGGTCAGGTTATCTTCAGCCCAACAGACAGATGCATGGACATTGGATTCACAGATGGACAGTCTGCTGGAATCACAGGCAGCTGGGCCAGAGACTAACGGCTGCAATTTAGCAGACAGACCTATGCAGGGCTCACAGCCAAGGCCCGGCCGGCATGCCCCTCAGCTCCTGGACCCAGCCTTCTGAAATCAGTTATAAGACAGAAAACCTTGATTCTGTGCTCTGGTGTAAAAGCAGAGGTAAAGTTTTTTTTTTTTTTTTTTTCCCTACAAAAACTTTCTACAAAACGGTTTTATTTATATATTTAGAGGGTGGGGGAAGGGCAGAGAGAGGAGAGAGAATCCCAAGCAGGCACCACGATGACCACACAGAGCCCGAGGTGGGGTTTGATCTCATGAACCATGAGATCAAGACCTGAGCTGAAATCAAGAGTCGGATGCTTAACTGATTGAGCCCCCCAGGTGCCCCAAAAGAGGAAAACTCTTGAACAATACACAGCTGAAAATCTAGACACAGGACTTCTCTTCTCCGTAGGATGTTTAGTCTGGACATTCCTTGGGACAAGGACTTCACGGTTTAAATGTTTGAAATACAATCACTATGGAGGTTTCCCAGGGTCATCATGACAAATATATTCACACGAACTATAAACATTAGTTACATTCTCGAGGGATTTTATTGGCCTTGAGAACATAAGTACCCTTCTCCTGGCAGTCAGTAGGAAAAATGGATTTATACAGCACACATGTGTTTTGCTGAAACTTTTGTGGGAAGATTCTGATTCTGTTACGTGGTGGAGATTTCCATGGAAGTCTATATTCTCGAAGTCACACTTCCAGCTATAGGAACCATCTGGAATACAGCTTAGAATTTGGTATTAAAAAAAAAAAAAGATTTCTGTAGCCAAAAGGGATGTTGGAAAGCTCATCGTGCACATAATTTTGGAAGGGGTTGTGCTCCCATTTTGTCCAGGATCAAAAGCAACATTAGACATCCCAGCCCACGGGAGATGGGAAATAGCATGGTAAATGTAGGGCTGGGACCGAGGGCATGGAGTGCCACTCCTTCAAGACTGTCTTCTTCCTTAGCCCCTTCCTTCTTGCCCATTCGCCCACGAGGTGACGGCGCCCCTGGGATCATGCTCAGGCCATGCAGTCTCCAGGGAAACCCCATGGCTTCATGGCTCCAGCTTCCGCCCTGTTGCCCATGCTACCAGATCTGCACCTCCTGCTGTGATGTCACCTGGACAGCCTCACCTGGGTGTTCCACAGGTCAGTCACACGCACCACATCCCCAAATCCAAACCATTCCCTTGGCGTCGGCAGCACCATCCACACAAAGCTCCATGCGGAGGCCTGGGAACCATTCCCTCTCCCTTCCTCTCCCTTCCTCACCTCCCCCAGCCTCATCAATCACATGCCTTTGTCCGTCTTCTCCACGCCTACTGCCATTACTTGAGCTAAGGCTCTCTTCTCTTTGAGCCCAGGTAACCGTAATGGCTGTCCAGATGGTTTCGCTGCTCCCATTTTTTGTCCTCCTCCAGATCCGTGGCAAAAAGGCCACTGCTGGCCCATAGGTACCTTTGTACAAATTAGTAAAGGACGTTCCTTCTGCCAGACCCTTGACTTCTCTAGTACAATACCCTTTACTGCCATCTGCTGGGAATGCTCGTAATAAATATGGGAATCTTTGAGACCTATGATGAGAATGATACTCCCTTCGATGTGTGTACTTGCACAGTGTACAACCCGCACACTCATACATATGGCCTTTGCTGCCAAAGTGATCTTTTCGAAACATTCATGTCACAGATGAAAATCGTTAGATAAGAAAATGTTTGTTTTAAATGGATAGACCCAATTGTCCGGAAATGATGTCAGTGGAGGTCTTCTATGTGACACGATGACTTAAGTTGCCCTGAAATTCAAGCTTTTTATTTTTTTATTTAAAAAAATTTTTTTTAGGTTTTATTTATTTCTGAGAGAGACAGCATGAACAGGGGAGGGTCAGAAAGAGAGGGAGACACAGAATCTGAAACAGGGTCCAGGCTCTGAGCTGTCAGCACAGAGCCCGACGTGGGGCTCGAACCCATGAACTGTGAGATCGTGACCTGAGCCAAAGTCAGACGCTTAACCCACTGAGCCACCCAGGCGCCCTCAAGCTTTTTAAAAAAACTATTTATCCTATCAATTAAAAATGTTACAGGACATTTTCTCACTGTAAAATGATTTAAATTCTTCATTTTCAACATCTTACGTTTATATTGCATCTATTGTTGGTAAGTACAA